CTTCTGAAAAACTTTTCTGTAAAAGAAACTTTGTTCTTTAAATTTTTTTTAAGTTGTTGATGGACTTTTATCTATATGTGATTTTTTTTTTTTAAGAGAGAGAGAGAATTTTAATATTTATTTTTTAGTTCTCGACAGACACAAAATCTTTGTATGTGGTGCTGAGGATCGAACCCGGGCCGCACGCATGCCAGGCGAGCGCGCTACCGCATGAGCCACATCCCCAGCCCGTTTATGTGGTTCTGAGAATCAAACCCAGTGCCTCACACATGCTAGGCAAGTGCTCTGCTGCTAATCCTGGAATTACAGGGCCTACCCCCTGTAAAAGAAATTTTTCTGTCAAATAGTCCTCATTCTTCTTTGGGCTTTGAATACTTTTTCTAGTAATAATGCCTGTAGACTCCAGTTCTGTGGAAATTTAGTTAATGGAATAATGCATTTTAAGCGAATGTTTTGCTTAGGTTGAGGCAGGCAGTTATGTCAGTGTCCAGTGTATCTTGCAGGCTATGAGCAGGGCAGGAAACAGTACATGTTACACTAATAGTCACTTTTAGTCACTGTAGAACCTCTGAACTTTATATAGTAACTTAAATTTTATCCATTCAGGAACAGATACAAATAATACCTGGGGGAGAACTAGGCACAAAATTGAAACTATTTATTGGATGAATGCATGAATTCTATGTTAGTGTTCGCAGAGGGGGGATATTATTGGTTCATTCTTACCATTTCAAAAATTTGACACATAGTGAGTGCCCTCATGGGACTAATTTATAAGCCTATCCTTGGTGAAATAATTTTATGTCTAGATACGTGTGTAACAAAGGGATAAGCATCTCTACCATATTTTGTATACCTGTAGTATTCTCAGAAGTGTAGAAAACTAAAGAATGCTTTGAAAGTGAAAAAAGCAGAATGCATGCATGTTAATGTAATATAGATAAATCTTACTTGCATTCTTTTCTTTTTTTTGGAGTAAATCTGTTGAAGTAAAATTACAATAAAATGAATCCATTTTAATTTCTATGAGTTTTGATTTATACATATGCCAGTGTGACCAACAGTATGCTAGATAAATATAGAAAATATTTCTTCCATTGTGATGCTTGGTTTGGGTCATGAAGTTTCTTATTTAATAGGTAAAAATGCTTTGGATCTTCTGTAAGTTAAGCACAGTATTTTTAAAAATGCTATTTAAATGATTTTAGTGCTAAAAATTAACTCTGCATCTCTCTTTCTTGAACTCCACATGCAGTTTTTCAGCAAATCCTATTGGTGACCTTCAGTATGTTTAGAATCCAACAGTTTGATAAACCACTTTCACCACTTCCACCTGTTTCAAACTGCCATCATCTTGTGTGGATTATTACAATAGTCTCATGCTTCCATTCTGTTCTCTTCCAGTCTTACTTAATACAGTGGCCATTGATACTGTTAAAATGTTAGTCAAGTTAAAAAATCTTTCAGATGTTTTCCATCTTATTGAAAGTAACAATCAAAACCTTTACAATGTACTACAAAGTCCTGCACTCTGAACTCCCTCCCCAAGTAATAGTATTTTCAGCTTGCTTCAGCTACCCCAGAGATAATGTTGACCTTGCTGTCTCCCTTGAACACACCCCAAAGTTGAACACACTCTGCCTACTTCAGGCATGTGTTTGCTGTTTCCTTTGCTTGGAAGATGTTTCCCCCAGATATGAAAAGGACTTCCTGTTTCAGCCTTTTTCAAATCTTTATTTAGCTCTTCATTTTCTTTGTGAGGTATATAAGCAGATTTGAAATAAATCACTCCCTTGCTGTCTTCCCAGCTTTGGTTTCCTACAAAATGCCTTTCAGCATTCAATATATCTGTAGCATGAGTAATTATAATTTATATTTTATTTATTATCTTTAAGAGCTAATAGGTTTGCTGTGATTATAAAAGTTTATTTGCACATGGCAAAACAAAATTTTATGTTGAATTATGTAATTTACGCATTTTAATGTTTAAATATTAATATTTTTTAAAGATCACAGGAAATGTTTTCTGATTTTTTCAAGGAAAAATTGAATATTCACAATAATTAACCATTAGCTGTGTTATTTTTCATCTGTTTTAAACTAAATTAAAGGGCTGGGGCTTTAGCTCAGTGGTAAAGAGCCCCCTTAGGTTCAATCCCCAATACCCCTCCAACAAAATCAAAAACTTAGAAAAGAATGCAAGGGGTATACTAGCATACACTAACATTAAAAATTATAAATATGGCAGAAATTCCAATAATATAGTTTTATTAATAAAATATCTAATACTGGGGGGAGTGAAAAGTGGTTCTAAAAACTGAATCAAAGTCCATCTTTGATCATTGTGAGGCTAGCACTGGGTCATTGCTAGCATAGTACCTGGCTCATGGTAACTGCTTAATAAATGTCTATTGAGGCCCTCAGACTTTGTTTATTGATACATTCATTAATCAGTTTATTTATTCAACAGGTACTATACCAACTGCCCTCCTAAGAAAGTGCTGAGATAGAGTATTATAATGATAATACAAGAGCTTCTGTAAGTAGGACAGTAGCCTTCTCTGTTTTAAAAGAAGATACACCCCCTTTCCACCCTTCTGTATAGAATATTTGTGTTTGATTTGGGGCAGAAAGTGTTACAAAAAAAAATTATAAGAAACTCAATACATTTATAGTCTAAAAATCTTGTGTTTTTCCTTTGTGATACATCCTGATACCTACCTAAATTTTAAAGCATTTCTAGTACCTTATTTGATAAGTATATGAATCATCCTAGGAATTCCTTTACTTATAAAACTTTCAAAATATTTTAAGTATATTGTTTTTTGAAGTTGAAGTTTAAATTGTATAAACTATTGATTGTGTGCATCAAGTAAATATGGTCTAATAAACAGGTAAAAAGATACTGAACCTCGTTAATGAAATAAAAGTTTTTTTTTTTAACCTATCAGATAATTAGAATTTAAAAACCTCTTTATTCCAACAATGGTGAGGATATGAGAAAAGGGCATAAAATTTACATACTAGTTTTTGGGACTGATTTAGACGTAAAATTTGGACATATACAATAATAATCTGTATTATGGAATTATTTACAGAGATGTATAGGATTATATGTCAAAATCTAAAGCATTATTTGAAAGAGATAAAAAAATAGCATCAACCATTAATGTTGTTTGGATAATTATTGTATATCTGTATTAATAATAATTTACTACATTATAAAAACTGAAATAGAAATTTATAAGTGGATATGAAGAGATGTCAATGAAAATAGGGGAAAATGCAGGTAATAATATAGTTATACTGGAGAAAATTACAAATTATGTATTACTTTGTACATATAAAGATATGTAGAAAACCATGAGATATGCCTAACTGTGGGATTAGGGAAAGAGAAAGGGATTAGGGAAAGAGAAAGTGGAAGAGTTACACTTTTTTCCTTAATTTTTTTTTTAGTTGTTGATAGACTTTTATTTAATTAATTTTTTTATGTGCGGTACTGAGAATCTAACACAGTGCCTCACACATGCTAGGCGAGTAGTCTACTGGGAGCCACAACCCCAGCCCCCAAGAGTTACACTTTTTATTTTTCTTTCTCCTGAAGGGTGAGTAAAACAATTGCAAAACACAAGACATTTTAAGTTTAAATAGCTCTGGACATTTTTTTTTTTTTTTTTTTTGTGGTGCTGGAATTGAACCCAGGGCCTTATGCATGTGAGGCAAGCCCTCTACCAACTGAGTTAATATTCCCGGTCCTGCGGACTTCTTTATAGAGTGAGGAAATTTTCCCTAGTGTCTAGTAGAAATATCTCCTGTTTATCAAATCACTGACTTTAGTGGAGTCACTGATGTGGCATAGATTTACCTATTTGAGTTCTCTCATTCGCATGCTGGGAATCTAACCTAAAACCTTGAGCAAGATAGGAAACACTCTTATCACTGATCTACGTCCCCCAGCCCCTTGGCTGCTTTTAAAAATTGATGTATGGAACTCTCATGGGACACCCTAGCAACATTTTTCATTTTTTCTCCAATAGAACTGGGTGCTAAAATATGTTGATGACAATAAAAACTTAAGGAAGGAAAAACTTAAGTACTTCCATTCATTTAAAGTAAAGGATGGCTGGGCACCTGTAATACCAGCAGTTTGGGAGGCTGAGGCGTGAGGAATGCAAGTTCCTGAAACCCTTTCTCAAAAAGGACTGGGGTTGAAGCTCTGGTAAAGCGCCCTGGGGTTCAATCCTCAGTCCCATATGGGAAGGGAAAAAAAGTTTCCTTTAATATGGCAGGCTAAACAATTTAATGTGCTTTTATATTTTTAAAAAATCAAATGATACTATCTGATTCAAGAGTGGTTAAAAAAAGAATGGTTAATTGGTTGCTTTTAAGTTTAAGAAAAAGGATGGCTTTTCTCATTGTCAACAGTTCCTTTTCACATTTGAGTGATTACTGTATGATCTGGTATCAAGAGTTGGTGTGTGTCCGTGCCCCACCAGGTTTGTAATTCACTGACATATTTGTCCTTGAGGAACTGGCCAACATTGAATGAAATACTGTGTAACTTTGTAAATTTAGTTTTCAGGGTGCTGATAGATATTAATGTAAATTAAAAAAGTATCAAAGCACTTTATAAAACACTATTAGATACCCTCCTGGGTTCTGAGTTTGGTTTTAAAAGATTCATTGATGTTTGGTATTTAATTTTTGGATATTAACTGAACCTCAAAATTTTTTTCTTCCTTTATATGTATTCCCACATGATTGTAGGAGTCTATCCTGAACTTAGATCGTGTACATTTTGGGAACTTATTTTAGAAAAGATCTAAGTTTTAAAAATTCTCAATGGACAGACAGAGAAAAGAGGGTCTTTGCCAACTCCTTTGGGTAAGAAAACTTTAGAATTTTGTAGATACTCTAAAAATGAAGGCCAACAAAACTAGGCAGATTCAATTATAAAGTTTTCAAGTAAAATGATTTGTTATGATTTCTTTCTTTAGACTGCTGCAGTAAGAATGTCTTTCCCCCCTCATTTGAATCGCCCTCCCATGGGAATCCCAGCACTCCCACCGGGTATCCCACCCCCACAGTTTCCTGGCTTTCCTCCACCTGTGCCTCCAGGTAAGTTTGCTAATACTTTTTTTTTAAACCTATGCTTTTGTCATTATGATATTAACTTTAGGAAAATAATATGTATGTAATACTTCAGCAGTGAATATATCTTTTAGCATCATTCTGAAAATGGGTTTTTCATTTTCCTAAGGCAGTGGATTTGATATGTGACTGTCAGACTCACCTTGGAAATTCCTTTTAAAAATTCTATATTTAAAATACATAGGGCCAGGTGTGGTGGCACATGCCTGTAGTCCCAGTGACATGGGAGGCTGAGGCAGGAAGATCACAAGTTCAAAGCCAGCCTCAACAACTTAGTGACCCTCTAAGAAACTCAGCAAGACCCTGTTTCAAAATAAAAATAAATAGGTTAGAGATGGGGCTCAGTGATTAAGCCCCTTTGGGTTCCATCCCTAGTACCAAATGGTATTTCCTTTCTGAAACAGGGAAAAAAGTAGTGTTATTAATCTTAATTTTGCAGGTACTTAAACATGCAGATTAGAAGCAAATACCAGTACATATTTATCTCTTAGTTCTAAGTTTGGTTTGTTTTTAAGCACAGATACATAGTAGCATGCTATATCCACTAGTTTGCACCTTGCTTTTTTTCACTTGATAGTGTACCATAGCTTTCTAAATCAATATATGAACAGCTTCCTTTAAGAGTTCTGTGGAGTTAAAGCAATATTCAGGCCTTACCACAAATCCCTGAATCAGTTCCTCAGAAATTGGGGCTCTGGAATTTTTATTTTTAACAAGTTTGCAGCTATTTCTAGTTATCAAATTAAGTAAATGGAACCCATATTTGAGAACAGTTATTCTGAAGTAGATAACATTATTTGACTTAAGGGAACGAGAGTTCCTTTGCTTCTACCATGTTTACTTTAGATCTTCAATATTATTGCCAGCTTGGTTGATGTTAAACTAATGTGGACATTTATTCAGAATGGTAATTCTGTACTTTCTGATTTCATTTGTACTAGTCTACATAATCATTTTTGTTTAGCAAAGCATACTTTACTTGTCTGATAAATCAGAATTTAGTTGTAGCTCAGGCACTACCAGCATTCTGTGTGCAATATCAGTATTTTAAAAGGTAAGTCATGAAAAAAACAAAGGTAGGTAGTGGACTGGGGATATGACTCAGTGGTAGAATGCTTGCCTTGCATGCTTGAGGCCCTGGGTTTGTTCCCTAGCACTGGAAAGGGTGGGCAAGGTAAGTTATGAAATATTATAAAAACTACTGTAATAATTCAGAAACACAGTACCCTGGATGCATGATTTTTGTGTTTGGCTTATGAGTATAGTTAATAACTCAGTGCACTTAATTGGACTTTGATATAATATATGATGATTCTGAGTATTAAAAAAATTTTTTGTTTTAGATGGATAAAATACTTCTAGTTTATTTATTTTATGTGGTGTTGCTGAGGATCGAACCCAATGCCTCACATGCTAGTCAAGTGCTCTGCCACTGTGCTACAACCCCAGGCCCGGTGATCATGAATTTTAAATGAGAAAATAAGTCTGGTAACTAGCTGTTGTTTTTCTTTAGAAAGTAAGACATGCCTGCAGAAAAAGTTCCTTCCCCCAAATCAATCTTGTCAGTTTTCTAGGGTATTATTTCTCCAGAGATATGCTGTGCATTTCCTACTATTTGCTTGCGTTTACTCTTTTCCTATTTCCTTTTTAAAAAACTCAAATGTTAATATGCTCTTCACATTTTGTGCACTTTATTTTTGCTTAGCATGCATGATCATTAGGAAGAGCAGCAGTGCTTTTTCAATGAAAATTTTGAACTGTACTTTGCTTATGTTTGCTTTAGCATGCATGATTTTTATAAACAGCAGCAATGCCTTATTTATTGTGAATGCTAATTGCAGAAATTCTAATGGCAGTATTAGAGCACATGCTTAGTATGCACAAGACCTGAGTTGTAACCCTAGCACCAAAAAGGAGAAAAAAAAAAAGATAAATTTCAGGTATTAGTAAGTTGGATTAGGAAGCATTATTAGACTTTGAGTAAATATTAAAAGGGAAATTTAAAGATGTCTTTCTGAATGCTTTTCTTAATAGACGGTTTACCTATAGAATTGGGGCCATATGGGGGTACCATTGTAGTTGGTAAATAGAGTATTTATTTTTGGAAAGTTAAGGTGTAAAATTTAGATAACAACTGATTAATTATAGGTGTTTTTGGTACTGGGGATTGAACCCAGGGGTGCTTTACCACTGAGCTATATTCCCATCCCCTTTTTATTTATTATTATTTTTACATTTATTTTTGGATTGTAGTTGGACACAGTACCTTTATTTTATTTGTTTATGTGGTGCTGAGGATTGAACCCAGGGCCTCGCACATGCTAGGCGAGCACTCTACCACTGAGCCACAACCCAAGCCCCCCTTTTTATTTTTTATTTTGAGACAGGGTCATGCTGGGTTACTTAGGGCCTCTGACTAAATTGCTTGGGCTGACCTTAAACATGTGATCCTCTGCCTCACCTTCCTGAGCTGCTGGGTTTAAAGGCATGTGCCACCAGGATGGTAAATTAATTATATTTTTACATAACCACAGTTATTTAAAAATACTTTTTTCTTTCTTTTTTTTTTTTTTGTGTTGGGGGGCAGTAATGGGAATTGAACCCAGGGCTTGACATATGATAGCAATGCCCTGCAAGTGTCTACTTTACTTTAGTGAGTCATACAAGTTATCACAATTTTATAGGCACTCTTGAAGGACTAATTATTTTAATAGAATTGAGGAAACTGCAGCAAAAGTTAAAGTACTTTCGTAAAGGTTCACAAGTTAAAATGATAGAACCAAGAATCAAACTCCAATTTACCTTCTTTTTAATTGTCAGTGAACCTTTATTTATTTATTTATTTATTTATTTATGGTGCTAAGGATTGAACTCAGTGCCTCACACATGGTAGGCAGCAACACCAGCCCAATGCAGATTTGATCCTGAAGTCTATTTTGCAGTTTATTCTGGACATTGATAGGAACTGTAATCTATATCTTTAAAAAATATTGTGAAAACTGGAATTATTTTAAATAAAATATATTTGAAAATAAAGGGACAGTGGTACATGTTTAAGAATTTATTACCAGTTTTAGATGGGGAATTATCTTGAATTCATGTTAAATTTGAACTGAAGGGTGATTTCAGAACTTCGTGATATTTGAAATAATTTATTTTCATATTTTCAGTACTGGGAATTGAACTCAGGGGTGTTTAACCATTAAGCCACATCCTTGACTCTTTTTTATATTTTATTTAGAGACAGGTTCTTGCTGAATTGCTTAGGGCCTCACTGAATTGCTGAGGCTGGCACTAAATTAATGATCCTCCTAGTCACCTTCATGAGCTGTGTGTGCCACTGCTCCCAGCCCTTTATTTTTTGTTTTGAGACAGGGTCTGACCAAGTTGCCCAGGCTGGTTTCAAATTTGTGATCCTTTTGCCTCAGCTTACTGAATTACAGGGATTACAGGCATGCACTGCACCTGGCTACTTAGAAGCATTTTAAAATTTATATTAGAACAGTAGTCACATCTTTGATTAATTTTGATCTCATTACAAGCTTTTTCTTAGTTCTCAAATCATCTGATTTCATCCTTAGTTCTGTGAACAAGGAGGGATACAAGAACTCTCCATATAGCTATTGCTTAGGAAACATTGTAATTGAAAAAATATCCATAAACAGTAGTAGACAGGACTTAAACCTTCACAGTGAGTTATTTAGAACAGACCATGCCTGTCTTAGAGATTAGTTTTCTTTTTGATAGCAGCTGAAATTACAGGTCTCATTTTTTGGATGATATTTTTCTGTGAAAGAATCAGAAATAACAATGTTCTTGTTGGGTTTCCAGATTAATTTCTTATTTGATATCTTCTTTTTTTTCTAACTCTAAGTATTTGTTTTTACTTTATTTAATAAAATTATATATAATTGTTGTGCATGTTTTGAAATTGTATGCATTGTGGGATGGCTAAATAGAGCTAATTAAAATATGCATTGCTTCATATACTTATTTTTTTGTTGAGAACACTTAACCTTTTTAGTTTTCAAGACTATAATATGTTAATTGTAATCATCATGTTTTTTTTTTTTGCTACTGGGAATTGAACCTGGGGTGCTTTACCACTGAACCAGTCCTTTTTTTTTTTTTTAAAGTTGTAGATGGATACAATATCTTTATTTATTTTATGTGGTGCTGAGGGAGGGAATCAAACCCAGTGCCTCACATGTGCTAGGTGAGTGCTCTACCACGCAGCTACAGCCCTACCCCTTTATTTTTTATTTTGAGACAGTCTTGCTAAGTTGCTGAGGCCTGCTGCCCTTGAACTTCTAATCCTTCTTTCTCAGCCTCCCTGGTTGCTGGGATTACAGGCCTGGGTCACTGTACTCGTCCTACAGTTGTTTTATGTTTTTTAAAATTTGGACTGGGATTGTAGTTCATGTTAGAACCTTTGCCTAGCATGTGCAAGGTACTGGGTTCAATCCTCAGCACCACACACACAAAAATTATTATTTGACTTCTGTGTTGTTACTTCTTAAATGTAATATTGATTTCATGTTGTGTTTTTTTTTTTTTTAAATCTTGGGAATCATTGGTACCATTTCATTCTTTTTTGAAAATTTTTTTTTATTTTTTAGTTGTTGTTAGACACAGTTCCTTTATTTCACTTATTTATTTTTATGTGGTGCTGAGGATCGAACCCAGGGTCTTGCACGTGTGAGGTGAGTGCTCTACTGCTGAGCCACAACCCTGGCCCCCATTGGTACCATTTCTATTCCAATTGGAAAGAATTTTAAAAATCAGAGTCTTAAATCTATAAAAACATAATTTTGTCTCACTGTGTCCATCAGATCAGGATCCTGATACACCCTGAAAGGTTGTTAATTTAAACTCAATGGTCTTTTCTTTAGTTTTGTGTATTAATATAGGTTTTTTATTTTTTTTTAAGATGGACAGAATACCTTTATTTATTGTTTATTTTTGTGTGGTGCTGGTGATGGAACCCAGTGCCTCATGCATGCTAGGCAAGTGTTCTACCACTGAGCTACAACCTAGCCCCCTTTATATAGTTTTCATATATCATTGGTACCATTGTTCACCCATAATTATGAATCTGTTTGTTAAGGCTGTTTTGAGGACCACTGAAACAGATGAAAACAAAGTGATAATTGTCCAGAATTTTATATTCCTTAAAAGCAAAAGAGGGCTGGGTTCGATCTTCAGTGATAGAGCAATTACCTAGCACATGTGAGGCACTGGGTTCTATCCTCAGCACCACATTAAAAAAAAAAATAAATTAATAAAAATAAAGTTATTAAAAAAAAAAGTGATGGGATAGCCATTTTGATTTCAGGATAGTTTTTTTTGGTTTATTCTTATAGTACTAGGAATTGAACCCAGGGGTGATTTGTACTATGCTATATGCCAAGTTCCCCCACTTTTTTTTTTTTTTTTTGTACCAGGGTTTAACCCAGGGTGCCTAACCACTGACTCACTTCCCTGTCCCTTTTTATATTTATATTTTATTTTAAGACAGTAAGTTGCTGAAGCTGTCCTGAAACTTGTGATTTTCCTGCCTGAGCCTCCTGAGTAGCTGGGAATATAGGCTTGTACTACTGTGCCCATTTCATATAGTTTATTGTTGTAAGTCATATAGACCAATCTGATACCACATTACTTATGAAAATAAGACATTATTCATTAATGTTTTATTTTCCTTTATCTTGTGTTTCTATTTATATTACCTGTGAATTAGGATAATTACTTGTATGGCATGTAGTTGATATAGAACATAGTCGTATTTGAATATGCTTTATTTTTTGGTACTGGGGATAGAACTCGAGGCATTGGACCACTGAGCCACATCCCCAGCCCTATTTTGTATTTTATTTAGAGGCAGGGTCTCACTGAGCTGCTGCTGAAACTGTCTTTGAACTCATGATCCTCCTGTCTGAGACTCCTGAGCCACTGTAATTACAGGCATATGCCGCTGCGCCTGGCTAATAGTATTCTTGAGTCACATTGTGCTTTTTTTCCTTTTTTTAGGGACCCCAATGATTCCTGTACCAATGAGCATTATGGCTCCTGCTCCAACTGTAAGTATAATTTAAAGAAGGAATGTTGTTGTGATAGTCCTAAAAGGTGCTTTTAAAGCTAAAAATCTTGATATAGTTAGAATAAGTGGTAAACAAATGATGAGATTTCCTATGAATTCTCTACCACTAATTTGAATCAGTATCATTTTCACTTAGCTATGCATATGAGAGAGAGTGTGTGTGTGTAGAGAAGAGAGAGACAGACTGTGTTCTAAAACATTCCCTAAATTATTCAATTTTATGATCTATCTTTGTTTCTTTTTAGACTTTTCACATACTGGCTTTTAGAGATTTAGTACAGTGGCTTTTTGATGATTCCCTCATCTTATCTTGGTCCTGGGTGATGGGAGAATGATCTGACCTTAAAAGGAATGTAGGAATGAATGGGCCCATAAAAATTTAAATGTTGAAAAGTAATTTGTGTAAAGTATCTTTTTACTCTTTCCTCCCTCCTCTGGTGTTTGACCCTTTTTACTCTTATCTATTTTCTCTTTCTTTAATATATTTTTAAGTTTTATAAGCCTTTCTTCTGCTGCAGTGTTCATTCTTGTGTCTTAAACCCTAATTCTCCATAATAATCAAACCTTCAAAGTATATTAAAGAATGCTGCTGTACTGTAGCAAATAATGAGAATCCTCTTTTATTTAGCTAGAATTTTTCTTTGAATTAATTGGTATAACAGACTTCATTTGGAATTCTGTGAGACTAGATCTCATTACTTTCAACTGTGTATGTTTTGTTGTTTTTTTTAATCTTTGGGTTTTGAAAAGGGAGGGGAATATTACTCATCTCAAAGGGAAATACATCAGAGAAATTGGAAATCTGCTCTGAGGTAGACCACTGAGACTATTTGGTTCTCAGCCCACGGGAAGTCCAGCTTTTCTTGCATTGGACACCCATAGTTAAACTATTTTAGAAAGTCTCCAAGTGATGTTTACTCTTCCCACTTACATTTCTGGATAGGAAAAGATGGGATTGGGGTTTGGAGGAGCTCCCTCAGTTTGTCAAGTTCTTACTGAGGGTCTGTGGCTGATTTAAGTACAAAGAATAGTTCCTTCCTCTGGAAAGTTGAAAGTTGGGAAAGCAAACTTGGAATTTCAACTTTTAACAAAGGGTAAAGTGTTAGTTTGGAAGAGTACTATGGAATATTTGAATATTCTGTTACAGGATTAGCAGGGATAAATGGAATTTGCTTTTATATGGATACTAAGAATATTGGATGTGAAAAAGTTTCTGGATTTTATTTAATTTTAAATGATTTATGATGTCTTCAACATTTAAAAAATGTGTCTTAATGACTTTATTTGCTTTTTTCAAGTATTTGAAAACAATCTAATGGCAAAAGCTGGTTATGAATAAATTTGGATTAGTGGAGTATGCCATATGCTTTGGGAGCTTCAATGTTAAAGCTTTAATATATGCTGTACTCTTACCAGTTTTTAGCATAATGTTACACTAAATGTAATAGGAAATCTAATTATTTTCCAGATCAAATTTATTGCCCTTCTTTATCATAGGTCTTAGTACCCACTGTGTCCATGGTCGGAAAGCATTTGGGAGCAAGGAAGGATCATCCAGGTTTAAAGGCAAAAGAAAATGATGAAAATTGTGGTCCCACTACTACGGTTTTTGTTGGCAACATATCCGAGAAAGCCTCAGACATGCTTATACGACAGCTCCTAGCTGTAAGTTAAACTGTTTACTTTTCATTAAATTTTTATTAATTTTAAAAATCATGATTTTGAATGATTATTTTTCCCTATTTTTATTTTGAAGAAATTTAAAACTGCAGAAAAGGTGAAAGAATGGTTCAGTAAACCCAAACACATTTTGATAGATTTATTTTGTCTCTACCGTATACGTTCCCCATCCCAAATAATTTGAAGGTGAGTGTCATGTGGCATTTCACCTGAGTCTGAAGTGTATCTCCTAAGAGTAAGGACAATCTCCTGCATAATGAGAGTGCCATTGTTATTACACTTAAGAACTGTAATTTGGGTGCAATATCATTCTTCTCTAGTCCCAGTTACTTGGGAGGCTGAGGCGGGAGGATCACTTGAACACAGGAGTTTGAGAATAGCTTGAGCAACATTATGAAACTATATAAACTATATAAAAATTTAAAGTTGATAAGGTATTGTTAACTAAAATATATCTAATTCATATTTAATCTTTCAGTCATGGCCATAGTAAGTTTTTGGTTTACAATCTGTGATCTATAATTCCTTTAATTGTCAAGCCTCTTTAGACAACTTTTTTGCTTTTCATTTTCTTCTTGCACTACTGGGGATCAAACCAGGTTCTGGTGCTTGCTAGGCAAGCTCTCTGCAACTTACTAGATCTCCACACCCCCCCCTCCCTTTTTTTTTTTTTTTTTCATTTTTATTTTGAGATGGGACTTGTTGTATTGTCCTAGGCTGACCTGGAACTTGTTATCTTCTTGCCTTAGCCTTCCAGTTTCCTAGGATTATAGGCATGTGCCACCAGACATGGATATACAGCTTTTAAAAATTTTTTTCAGTTATACATGGACACAATATCTGTTTTTATTCATTTTTAGTTGGTGCTGAGGATTGAACCTAGTGCCTCATGTGTGTGAGGCAAGCACTCTATCATTGAGCCACAACCCCAGTCCTATATAGCTTTTTAATATGGAATAAATCCCCTGCCTTTTTTACTTGCTTTTTTTTTCTCCCTGACATCGATATTTTTGAGTCCAGTTCTTTGCAGAATATTTCTCCCAATTTGGATGTCAGCTTGTTTGCTCATAGATTCAAAGTAAGCATTTTTGATAACTGATGCATTCTTCCTAGGATAGAATAGCAAGAGATAAGACATGATGCCCCATTGATCCTGTCTTTGGTGGTGTTGAGTTACTTGGTTAAGGTGGTCAGACCTTTTCCCTGTTAAGGGTACCTTTTCCTCTGGTAATCTCTGAGTTTACATTTTGAAACTGAGTCCTTTACCCTACCAGCTATTAAAACAGTGATGATTGAGTCCCTTTGAAGTTTTTATTCCAAATAATTGTAAGTTCTTTATGTTTTGTGAAGTCATTTATTTTCTTTTTTCTTTTTTTTTTTTTTTTGTTTAAGATAATTCAGTTTGGTGATACATGCAGATTGTTATGAATTATATTGCATGATTTTATAATTAAAAAGAAAGTGTTTACATTCCCTCTTTACCATTTCTTGGGGAAGGTATTTTTAAATCTTTTTGTTTTATAAATAATGTACAGTATAGCCATTTCCATTTTATAAATTGTTTCTTTCATTGGATATTTAGCCAACAACCAACCATTCATAAAACCCAGTTTTGTTGAATTTAATGATTCTAGCTTCAGATTTTTCCCAGAGAAATATAACATTACAGTGAAAACCCTAATTCCCAGTTTTTTCTCTCTAGAGATTATCAATTATCCTAAACTTTAGGGAGTTAGCATTTGTGTGCATATTTTCTACTTTATTGCATATTACAGATTCATAAATACACGTTATTTGTAAGGTTTAATTCTGTATTTTAGTTTTTTTTTCACCCAACAACTTTGCTTTTCTCTGCTGTATATCGTTGTATTGTAGAAATATGTCATAAACTATTACTTTTCTATTTAGTCATAAGGATTGTTTCTGTTATATTACTGACAATAGGTCTTTCTAGGTACAAGTGAAAAATTTTCTGTCACATATTCTCTCAGAAGTGAAATTTAAGTATTAGAGCATACTTGAGTTTTCCCCTCATACCAATTTATACTTAATTGCAACAGTGTCTAAGTTTCCATTCTTGTATATTGTGTTTAAATATACTATGTTTAAATTTTTAACTTTTTAGAATATCTAATAGATTTGAAGTTATCTCATTCCTGTTTTGATTTGTACTTTATTACTATCTTTATTACTTTTGAAATTATCTGTTGACTTATTATTTTGGTAGATAAAGCGTAGCTTGCATATAGGTCTCAAGTCTCATTCCCCAATTTCCTAATATAGTGACATCATTACAGTGTTATGATGGTTGGTAAATAGTTTGGTAGAACTAAACCTTGTACCATGATTATATTTTTATTGTTCTCTTGGAGTTGTTAATTATGTTATTCTTTTGTTAATAGTTTCTATAAATTTATTAGAAATTTAGAATTCCCCATCATTTCTACTTTGCACCCGCCTTTTTTCTTCAATTGTTAAAATATATCAAGTAATATTAATTTCCCTTCTTTTCTAAAGGCCTTTCTGCCAGACCCCTCTATTTTTGTTTTTGGTTTTTGGGGGGTTTTTTGGTACTGGCTATTGAACCCAGGTGTGCTCTACTACTGAGCTACATCCCCAGCCCTTTTTATTTTTTATTTTGAGATAGGGTCTCGCTACGTTGCCAAGGCTGTCCTCACATTCATGATCCTCCTGCCTCAGCCTTCTGAATAGCTGTGAGTACAGGTGCATGCCACCATGTCTGGGATATCTGTTCATATTTAAAAGTTATGAATTAAAAGAATGTTGTTTGCATAAGATCGGTTTAAAAAATGAGGCTTTTCCCAAACATGGGGTAATTTAGCAAGCAGTCAGAGGATTTGAATGTTGCTATGTGGAGGTCTTTTCTTTGGGGCTGTTTGATTTCTCTAGAAAACTTTCCCATGCCTTCAAATTGACTGCTTATATAGGGTTGGGGGTGAAGTGCTGGGTTCAGCCCCTTTTGAGCCTCATTGTTCATTTTTACTCCCATTTAGATTCACTTGTTTTTCTAGAATGAATTAGTATAATTCTTTGTCCTTATTATCTGCCTCTGTAGACCTGAAGATATAGACTTCCTTATTGTGCTAAATGAGTTACCACCCAGTCATTTGCTTTTTTTTTTTTTTAATGAAGTCTGGACAGCTACTCTTTGCCCATCTATTAGAACTTGGGGGTTTCTTCTATCTTTTATATTCCTTGACTATCATTTTAATATTTCCTCTGAAGGAAGATGTGAAAAATGTACATATCCTTTCACTTTAACAGGCAGTTAAAGTTACAAATAACATTTTTTTTAAAACCTTCTGGGTTATGCTTTAATATTTAGAAATAATGTTTGGAAATTTTGTTGACTTTCAATATATAATAATGTCCCATCCTTCACTTACCCATTCCCCTTAGAATTTTGGATTTTTTTTTTTTTTTAATGAGACAATACTGGGAATTGAACCCATATCTTGCTGTGTTGTAGCATGCATATCTACCACTGAGCTGTACCTCCAGCCCGTGGGATATCTTCAGTCATTTTACAGAAAAAAAAATTTTTTTTGTTTACACAGTTAAAATATCACTGTATTTAGTAATTTATGTCCAAGTTACTTTGTAAATCATATTAAGCTTTTTTCTATATCATTATATATAAAATACAGGGGGTTTTGTTTGTTTTTGTGGTGCTGGTGTTCAGACCCAGTGCCTCCCATGTGGTATACAAATGCTGTACTATTGAGCTAAATGCTCAGCCCTGTAATACATAGTTTAATTTATAATTTATTTTAAGTACATGTAACCAGATTAGGCACTTGAATTTTTATATATATATATTTTTTTTGGTAAGATATTTTATGGTATAAATCTCTAATATATTAAAAGATAGTGAAGGGAATTTTGTTAAGAAGTATCAATGAAGAATTTATATTTGTCTTAAAATGATTTGTTTTGCATTTTCTACAAATTTATGAAGATTGAGAGAATTTCAACAGACTTATTTGCTGGTATGATCTTATTTATGTTTTTGCTTTTTTCCCCCCTAGTGAGAATATAATTGTTCTCTTACTTGCATTAAACTTAATTTTTTTTTTTTCTTTTAAAGAAATGTGGTTTGGTTTTGAGCTGGAAGAGAGTACAAGGTGCTTCTGGAAAACTTCAAGGTAAGTCATGTTTTCCTTATTTGTTGATTGTTTTTACCTGTTTAAATAAATCACTTTACATCTTTTATTTTCATTGTCTTTTTCATACTAGAATAGTTTCAAATGCAGTTGAAGATAATTAGCTGAGAGTTGAGATTAATGGGTGGAAAAGTGGGACAGCAAGGAGTTAAAAGAGGAAATAATTAAAATTACTCAGGCTTGTTTCTATATTTTATCACATTTTTGGAAACATTAGTCAGACATATTAGTTTTTTATACATAAGAGGAATATTTCTGTAGCCAGGCCTGTTTGTGCATACCTGTAATCCCAGTGGCATGGGAGGCTGAAAGGGATGGGAGGATCAGGAGTTCAAAGTCAGCCTCAACAGTGATGATGGCAAGGCACTAAGCAACTCAGTGAGACCCTGTCTCTAAATAAAACAGGTGGTATATATTTTGTATAGGACTGGGGATGTGGCTCAAGGGTTGAATTCTCGAGAGTTCTGTCCCTGGTATCCCCATTTAAAAAAAAAAAAAGTTTTTTCTGTGAAAGCAGCATGGTATAATTAAGATGGAAAAATTGCAACTTAGGAAGAGAGTAGAAAAGATGTGACCTGTTATTTTTGAAAACAAAATGTGCTTTTTATATTTGTCTGTGGAAACAGCTAGTGGATAATTTTCTTATTCTTTTTTTTTTTTTAATAATTATTTTTATGTGGTGCTGAGGATCGAGCCCAGTGCCTCACATGTGCTAGGCAAGCATGCTACTGCTTGAGCCACACCCCCAGCCCTAATATTCTGATGGTGCAGATGCAACCTAGGGCCCTCACCACTGCTAGGCAAGCATTCTACCACTGTGCCACACATTCAGCTCTGAAAATATATCTTCTAAACACTTTGATATGGAAGAATTCGTATGTACATAACATTAGAATAGTGGGATAAATTCCCATTTACTCATCATCCATTGTTAATGTATTGTATTTTGTCAGTACCCTGAACAATTGATTTTCTTTGTATTATTTATTTTATTACTTTTGGTACCAGGGATTGAACACAGGAGTGTTCAGTAACTGAGCCATTCCCATCTGTTTTATCTGTTTTTTTTTTTTTTTTTTTTTTTTTTTTGGGAGACTAGATCCCATTAAATTCCTGAGGATGACCTTGAACTTATAGGCATGAACTATTGTACCCAGCTGATTCTCTCTCTCTCTGTCTTTCTCTCTTTTTTAAAAATTTTTCAGTTTTCGGTGGACACAATATCTTTATTTTATTTTTATGTGGTGCTTAAGATCGAACCCAGCACACCGCCAGGCGAGCGCACCATCGCTTGAGCTACATCCCCAGCCCCCTCTCTTTTTTTTTTAATACTTTTATTTTTTTGTACTGGGGATTTAACTCAGGAGCACTTAACTACTGAGCCACATTCCCAGCCCTATTTTATATTTTATTTAGAGATAGGTCTCACTGAATTGTTAAGTGCCTCACCATTGCTGAGGCTGACTTTGAATTAGAGATCCTCCTGTCTCAGGTTTCCAAGCCGCTGGGATTAAGGTGTGTGCCATTGTGCATAACCAATATCTTTATTTATTTATTTTTATGTGGTTCTGAGGATAAAGATAATATTTGAACATAAGGATGGAAGAATATTTAATGTTACTATGTTTAGTATGGATTCATTGTAGTTATTATTAAGTTAAAGTTTAAGTTGGCTTAAGTTATCCCTGCACGTTGGATCTCCAGAGGTTTTGTTTTGACTCTCATTGTCTTTGTAGCTTCCTTATTATCTGATGTGACCTGATATTCACAGCAGATTATTCTGATAGATTTTCTGGTCTAGGCTTGGAATCATATATTTTTTAAAAAAATTTTTAGTTTTTTTGGTTATAGATGGACACAATATCTTTATTTACTTTTGTGTGGTGCTGAGGATCAAACTCAGGGCCTCACACCTTCAAGGCAAGCACTCTACCACTCAGCCCCAGCTTCAGCCCTGGAATCACCTATTTCTTTAAGGAGCTTTTAATGAAAAATTATTTTGAAAATCACAATGTTGAGTAACTCATTATACCTGGTTTGGTTTTTGCTTTTAGGTTTTTTTCAGTGTATACTCATTTAAATTCTGGAATGAAAAATTTTTATTAACCGTCTTCTGATGTTTTTCACACATTGAGAATCTGGAGTTTCAAGAACAATGGAGGCAATAGATTATTCATTTGTCACTAACTTGTTTTTGTCTTACCTCACATTGTATATATAACAGTTCAGACTAAAATAATACTGGTATTATCATCAACATTGTGAATTTTGAAAGTTACCCTTTTTTTGCCAGGCTTTTTGTCCTTAGGTTATATCACACTAAAAATGTATGGTTAAATCTGCTGGTTTAATATCGTTAAGAATAGTTCCTCCTTGTGCCATTATGGCATTATTTGTATACATATTTAGAATAATTTGTTTTCAAATTTGGGTTCCCTGGGTTGTTTTAACATCTTTATTTTATTTAAAGACATTAATAGTGCTATTGCCTAGTTATAGAAGGAAATAGATAAATTACATAAAAGGTCAATACTTTTATAATTTTATCCTCTCAGAATTGAAAAGTGCTTTGCTTAAGTTCAACCAGTTTGTTATTGCTTATTTGTTGCTCTTAGGATGTCTGGATAGAATGATTAGTGAAGTAATCAATAATCAGTTTAATCATGAAATTCACTGACATTGCTAATTTTTTTTTAAGAGAATTTTTTTAATATTTTATTTTTTTAGTTTTCGGTGGACACATCTTTATTTTTTTATTTTTATGTGGTGCTAAGAATCGAACTCAGCGCCCTGAGCATGCTAGGCGAGTGCACTACCGCTTGAGTCACATCCCCAGCCCAGACATTGCTAAATTTTTTTATCAGAGTGTACAATAAGTACCAGTTTGCTTAATTTGAGTTTTTCTTTTCTCCTTTTTTTCCCTCCTCTTCTTTTTTCTGTTGGTTTTTGATGTTGCTAAAACCAAAATGATTATGAAAGGGAAATGAAGGACAGAGTATTCATCCTTATATTGGTACATTTGCCTAATCATTTTGATTCTTCATCAATTTTTGTCTTTTATTGATGTATCATTAACTCTTTATACCTAGCTTTTGGATTCTGTGAGTATAAGGAGCCAGAATCTACTCTCCGTGCACTCAGATTATTGCATGATCTGCAGATTGGAGAGAAGAAGTTACTTGTTAAAGTTGATGCAAAGACAAAAGCACAACTGGACGAATGGAAAGCAAAGAAGAAAGCTTCTAATGGGGTATGTTTTCTATAGTGTAAACATTTGTATGTCAGATGCTCTTTCACTGTGAATACTTCCTATTATAGATGAATCTAATATGGGGATTCACAAGATTGTTGTTATTGTGTGTGCTTAGGGCTTAAATATAAGAAGATATTTTATAGTTATTATATGTCTTTTATCTACCCACAGTGGGTGCATGACTGTTGGTTTGCTTATTCCAGGTTGGGATGAAGGTAGTAAGGGAGGCTGGACAAGTTTAACTTGTCAGAGTTAAACTCTTGTCAGAATCTGGTACAGACTATTCCTAACAGAGATAATTCATTAAGGCAGCTTTGTAAGTAAGTACAAAGTATATTTCCGCCTACACAATTATTATTAGTTGCCCTCTACTTTAGAAGTACACAGATTCTAAAATGAATGAAAATAAGTCACTACCTAGTTGGGTTTCTTTATTCAGGTAATCATAAATAAAAGAAATTTTTGGATGATGTTGTATGTATTATTACCTCCCCTTCTAAAGCAAAGCATATCTGAAACCTGAATACATTACGTGTTTATTCCTTCCTAGTTCCTTTTTGAAATATTAGGTTGAACACATCTTTAAGCAGATCTTTTATTTATTTTTTTAATATTTTTTTTAGTTGTAATTGGACAAAATACCTTTATTTATTTTTATGTGGTGCTGAGGATCAAACGAAGGGCCTTGCGTGTGCTAGGCAAACGCTCTACTGCTAAGCCACGACCCCAGCAGAAGATCTATTACTATCTTCCTCTCAACAAATAAAATGAAATAGGGGCTGGGCATGGTGGTACACAACTTTAATTCCAGCAACTTGGGAAGCTGAGAGGAGGATCGAGAGTTCAAAGCCAGCCTCAACAAAAATAAGATGCTAAGCTATTCAGTGAAATCCTTTCTGTTTTATTTTGTATTTACAAAATAGGGGTGGAGACTGTTGTGGTTATGGCTCAGAGGTAGTGTGCTTGCCTAGCATGTGTGAGGCATTGGGTTCTATCCTCAGCACCACATTAAGTAAAATAAATACATCGTGTCCACCCATGATTAAAAAATGAATATTTAGAAAAAAATAGGTTGTGGCTCAGCTTCAAGTGCCCCCAGGCTTAATTCTCGTTTCACTGCCCACCCCCAAAAAATAAAACCTTAAGTAGCCCTTTGATTTCACTTTCTCATTACCTTTCAAGATAGAAATTTCTTTCTTGTTTTCTCTCCATTTTTTTTTAGTTGTTAATGGACCTTTCCATTTTAAAAACATTTTACGTTTTTTTTTTTAAGTTGCCGATGGGCCTTCATTCATTCATTCATTCATTTTTTTATATGTGGTGCTGAGAATTGAATCTAGTGCGTAACACTCACACATACCAGGCAAGTACTCTACCACTGAGTTACTACCTTATATGTTCTTTCCACTGAGCTACTACCTTATATATTCTTTTACTTAAAAAAAAAAAAAAGAAATTGAAGCAAATTATAAAACATAAATTAAATATCAACCATTTCCTTCAGTGTAAGTAATTGTTGAAACATGCAAGAGAAAAGTATCAGATTACATGTAGAAGGAAACCAGTTCACACCTTAGCAGATTTGTCAACCCAAGACTGTCAAAGCTAGGATGTCCTGGAACAGTATATATCAAGCTCTGAAAGAAAATGGGTGTCAACCAAGAATCTTAAAAAAACCTTCCATGATCAACACAAGTTAAAAGAATTTACAGCTAGGAAGCCTGCACTACAGAACATTCTCTGCAAAATATTCCATGAGGAGAAAATGGAAATAAAAAATGATGAAAATCACCAAAAGGAGGAAAAGCCAATCAAAGGAGACAACAAAATCAAATTAAAAACCAAAAACCAAAACGACAGGAATACAAATCATATCAATAATAACCCAGAATGTTAATGGCATATACCTGTCAATTGAACGACATAGACTGGCAGATGGGACATAAAAAAAATAGACCCAGCAATATGCTATCATCAAGAAACTCCTAGGCAAAAAGATGCAGACTGAAGGTGAAAGGATGAAAAGAACATATCACATGCAGGGACTACACAAATAATCAGACAAAGTGGACTTCAAAGTTAGAAGATATAAAAAAGGGGCCTTTTGTGCTGCTTAAGGGAATCATACATCAAGAAGACACACCAATCGTAAATATTTATGCCCCAAACAGTGGAGCATCTATGTACATCAAACAAAGCCTTCTCAATTTCAAGAATCAAATAGACAACAACATAATAATTAATAGTAGGTGACTTTTAACACACTTCTCACCACTGGATAGATCTTCCAAAGAAAAACTAAACAAAGAGTCATCACAATACCAGACCTTGAAGTATACTACCGATTTACAGTCACAAAACCATGATGATATTGACCTCAAAATAGACATGTAGACTAATGGTACAAAATAGAAGACACAGAGACAGTTTCTTCATGCTAGACAAAGGCGCCAAAAACATACATTGGAAAAAAAATAAAGCCTCTTTAACAAATGGAGCTGGGAAAACTGGAAATCCACATGTACCAAAATGAAAATAAACCCCTATGTCTCACCATGCAGAAAACTCAAAAGTCGAGGCAGTAGATCAGACATCTTGTGCCTAATAGAAGAAAAGGTAGACCCAAGTTTTCATTATGTTGGCTTAGGAAATAATTTCCCTTAACACAACCCTTAAAGCATCAGAAATAAAATAAAAAATCAATAAATGGGATGGATTCAAAGTAAAAAGCTGCTTCTCTGAAAAGGAAATAGTGAATAACATGAAGAGAGAGCCTGCAGAATGGGAAAATCTACCATACGCACACTAAAGAACTCAGAAAAATTAACAGCAAAAAAACAAATAACCCAATCAATTATCGGGCAAAGGAAGTAAAGATATCATTCACAGAGAATGTATACATTGGTCAGCGAAAAAATGTTCAACATCTTTAGCAGTTAGAGAAATGTAAGTCAAAACTAAAATTTTATCTCACTCCAGTCAGAATGGTAGAAAGGATAGGTGGAACAGTTCAGTGGTGTTTCCTATGTTTAGAATTCTGTACCACTCCAAAATTAAAAAACTGCAAAAGAACGATTTTCTTAGATAATATTGAATTAAAACAGATGTTGTTTATGGATTTTATTTTTCCAAACATTAATTGTATACTTTTGAATGTAGATTGCATATTGCCTTGTTATGTTTTGCTCAAACATAAGTTTATTCAATAATTTAGGATGTGAGGAAAAAGTTGAACAATCTTATGTAATATAAATTTTTTTTCAAATAACCTTAGCAAATATAACTGTATAGTGGAGTACTTACTATATATTTGCCACAAGTTTAAAGAGAAAATATGAGTGGATGCTTATTCTTTGTCCTTAATTATTATTTGAAGGGATTTAGATAGCAGTCACTTACATAATGATAGGGAACCTTGTGTTACTGAATTCAGGCTGTTTAATCAGACTTTGGGGCATAAGAGAGAAAACCACTAGTAGTTCTCACTGTACATATTTAACCCAGGCCCTTGCACATGTTAGTGATATATACCATTCCACTGAGTTCCATCCCCAGCCTAATTCTATAGTTTGTGTTTTTTTTTTTTTTGGTGCTAGGGATTGAGCCCAGGGCCTTGTGCGTGTGAGGCATGCACTCTACCAACTGAACTATATCCCCAGCCCCCAGCCTAGTTCTGTAGTTCTTGTTGACTGAAAATAAATATGAGTTTGGAAGAGCAAGATATTTTTTCTGACCTGGAATTTTAAGGGGATTTATGTACTTATGTAAGATGTCTTGTCATTACAGTTTGAAAATTTTTGTTTAGATTTGTTGTAGGTGCAATGTCTTTTCCTCCATTCCATGTTATTTATGTATGTATGTGTATGTTCGACTGAGGTTCAGAGGCACTTTATCACTGAACTACTTCCCCATTTCCTATTAACGCAGGATCTTACTGCATTATTCAGACTGTTACCATCCTTGGCATCCTTCTGCCTCAGCCTCCCAAGTTGTTGGTATTACAGTTACATGCCCCTATGACTCACTTTTCTTTCAATTTCTTATTGGCATTTAGTAAAGGTAATTTAAGCTACCCATGCTTTTCTGTTTAGTCTATGTCCTGGTGCTTTCTGGATATCCAACAATAAAAGCATAGGAATAGGTATCTACTTGACATTCAGAATTTGTGGTTGTTAACTACACATTCAAGAATGAGTTCTGGCAATATTTTGAGAGAGCCAAGTGTATTACCTTCTAGTAGAGGAGAGATGTTCTAGAATATCTTCACATCTTTGCCTAGAAATTAGTTGGGTTAACATTTTTCAGATCTGTGCATTTCCCTAAGTTTGCAAAGATGTTCTTATTTCAGGCAATAAAAGTCAGTGACAAAAGAATTAGACTTGGCCAGGGGTGGTGGTGAACACCTGTAATCCCAGCTACTCAGGTGGCTGAGGCAGGAGGATCGGGAGTTCAAAGCCTGTCTCAGCCAAAGCAAGGTGCTAAGCAACTCAGTGAGACCTTGTCTTTAAATAAAACATAAAATAAGGCTGGGGATGTGGCTCAGTGGCTGAGTGCCCCTGAGTTCATTCCCCAGTACCCTGCTCCCCCGCTGGAAAAAAAATAAGACTTGAAGAGCTATTTGATACTTCCCATTCCTTTTAAAAATGTCGAAAAGGTGGTTCATGTAAACATTCTAGATAATCAGTTAATCTGTATCTACTGTTAAACTATTCACTTGTTTGCACTCCAGTCTTTTTATTTTTTATTAAAGAAAAAAATTTTTTTAATTTGTGGTTGACACAATACCTTCATTTACTTATTTATTTTTTATATGGTGCTAAGGATCGAACACAGGGCCTTGCACGTGCTAGGCGAGCACTCTACTGCTGATTCACAATCCCAGCCCCATTTATTTTATTTTTTGGTTCTGGAGATTGAACTCTGGGACACTTTAGTATTGAGCTACATCCTCAACACCCCTGGTCTTTTATTTTTGTTCAGTCATTTGTTTGTTTGTTTGTTTATTTTGGTACTTAGGATTGAACCCAAAGGCATTTCATGTATCTTCTCCACGTTTTTTAAAAATTTGAGATAGGATCTGGGCCTTGATTAATTGCTGAGGCTGCCCTTGCATTTGGCGATCCTTCTGCCTCAGTGTCCTGAGACGCTTGGATTGTGGAGTCTTACTTTTTTACTTTGAGACATTGTCTAAGTTTCTGAGCTTGGCCACAGATTTATAATCCTTCAGTCTCTATCTCCAGAGTCTCTTCAATTACAGGCATGTGCCACATTCCCTATTTATTTTTACTCAGTATGCTTTTCTAATTGGTGGAATAGAAGACGGAAGTGGAAGTCAGGAAATCATTTATGATTTAGATTGTACAATTAGAGCTGTAGGTTGAACTTGCCAGTCTTTGGAATGGTCTCTGTAACCAAAAATAACTTCACCTTTTTATAAAAGTGTTAATTTATTTTTGTTTTTCTCACATTAATATCAGTTTAGACATTAGGCTAATAATCTCTCCTACGTGTGTCAATTGAGGGATGATTAGCCTTTTCAGTGTTGAATAATTTAGTGTATTTGAAATGGCTGTTTTGTAATTTGGGTGAAATAGCCAAATATTTGAATTTTGTTTTTTAACAGTGGGGTAATACTCAATGTAGGGACTAAATATTTTTGTATGAACAGGCCTTTTGATTTATAATGGCACTTTTATTCCTGTATTTAGAAAGGTGTGGAGACTACTCAAACCAGAATGTAGAGAATATGCCAACAATATATGTGTTGCTTTCCTTTTTTTGTTGTTAAATACAATTGTGTGTTTTTTTATTTTTTTTTTAGTTGTAGTTGGACACAATATTTTTATGTGGTTCTGAGAATCTAATCCATTGCCTCAAGGTGCGAGGCAGGCACAGTACCACTGAGCTACAGCCTCAGCACTGGATTGTTTTCTAATTTACTGTATTTTGAGAATTTAGGTCTGAAAAGATAACAAGCTTTTATTAGAAATGGCCATGTGTGTCTCAAGACAGAAGGTTTTAGTTCCAGTTCATTTGAGGATTTACTTTCACATAAAACCACTGGAGAAACAGGGCAAGAAGTGTTTTTAGTGATAGGTATGAAAGTTGAAGAGATATTTAAAATAAACACATTACCACTATTTCAGTTTACTTAATTGTTGGTAAATTATAATCATTTAATTTGTAGTCATACGTAAAGCATCTTCATCAAAGATGCCAAGTTGAAAGTGGGCTATAAGAAGATTGGATGTAGGAGCTGGGCATATAGCTCAGTTGGTTTGAATGCTTGCCTTGCACGCATAAGGCCCCTGCAGCGCGCACACACACACACAAAGATTGGATGTAGAGGCAGGTTTGAGAAAGGAAGAAACTTACTGAGGGTGTGCACTTTTATTAAAACACATGATACGTTATATTGAACTTGTCTGTGTCATAACCCAATTCTTACCTATAATGGTAGATAAATAAGGGTAAAATTATCTTTAACTTTATTCAGGCTTACTGTATTTTTTACATAATATGATCTGAATGATAATTTGTTTGACCAATTGATAAATGCTCACTGAATATCTATTTGCAATAGCTATAAGAATACTGGCAATGGAGTGGAAGGTTATATTGTTAAGTAATTACAAGGTGGGAAACTGGCCTTCAGTAGAGTTGCAAGTATTGTGATGAAGAGCCAGGTATGCGTGCAAAAGAGAATGGTTCTGTTATGTATGTGAAAGATTGCATGGTATATGGTAACCAAGTAAATTGATAAATCCATAAGGATATGTTTTAATTATGAGAAAGTTTGTTTACATATGTTCTTTTATGTTTGCCTTTGCCGATTTTTAAGAATTTTATCCCTTCACATGTTTTGAGTAGAGAAAGGAGTAATTGGAAATTATCGAAAGTTTTAAGGTCAGCCTATATATTGAAGTTTTAGTGGATTAGGTCCTTAACGAGAGAACTTAAGATATACCAAGAATAGTAGTATACTAGAAGACTAATTTTTCCCCCACAGAAACAGAGTTAACAATCAGACTTTTTGTTTTAAATAGCTATGAATAGAATCTAACAAATAATCAGTTTATTACTTATGAGAAACATTACATGAATTGTTAATTTTTAGATGCACCTGAAAGTCATGTGGAAGACTTTAGTTTTTAAACTTGATTCTTTAGTGTATATAGTTACTATAGGTGGCATTTCCTGCTTTAGAAAAATTATAGTGGAACACGAGGAAGAAGCCATCATTTTAATTTATAGTTTCATGTGTGCATTTTGGTGTATATTGTTATTCATTGTTTTTGTTTAACTTTTCATGTTTTTTCTGATTTGACATTGTAGCTATTAGTAAAACCAACTTTGTTTAATAGAACTGTGGAGATGTTTTGAAGAAATCATAACTTGTTAGCCCTTAGGATGATTATCATTTTTTGTTTCATGTGAATTTTTTTTATTTCTCAAGAACGCCAGGCCTGAAACTGTCACTAATGATGATGAAGAAGCCTTAGATGAAGAAACCAAGAGAAGAGATCAGATGATTAAAGGGGCCATTGAAGTTTTAATACGTGAATATTCCAGTGAGCTAAATGCCCCATCACAGGAGTCTGATTCTCACCCAAGGAAGAAGAAGAAGGAAAAGAAGGAGGACGTATGTGTCCAGACAGCTTGTAGTCATTTCTACAATTTATGTTTTTATAATATCACTTGTTATACTTTGTGTTTTTTTTAAAACATTTTTTAGTTGTAGATGGATACAACATCTTTATTATTTTTATGTGGATGCTGAGGATGTGAGGCAAGCGCTCTAACACTGAGCTACAACCCTCGCCCCTTATACTTTGTATTTTAACTTGTGAGAGCAAATGAAATAACAATTTCCAAGTTAAAAGAGATTATGAGGCTTGCTCATACTAATTTATTTTGAGTAAACTTGGAGAAATTATGGACAGTGTTCTTTAAAAATACTGGAAGTATTTTATATGTGTTGTTTGTATATACCACGAAAAGTAACATAAAAGGTATGTACTATGATCAGTTCTCAAGGGATGTTGACAGTTCATATTATTTTGGATTTCAATGCTTTCTTTGGCCATCTTTTTTTTTTCCTTCAATATTGTGGATTAAACTCAGGGTCACTTTGCCACTGAGCGATTATTTGCAGGCCATTTTATTTTCATGTACCAGGGATTGAACCCAGAGGTACTCAATCACTGAGCAACATCCCTAGTCCCTTTTTAAAATTTTATTTAGAGAGAGGGTCTCTAAATAGCCTCTTTATTTAGAGATAGGGCCTGGCTTCTAAACAGAGTCTCTGAATAGCCTCCCAAGTTGCTGGAATTACATGCATAAGCCACTGTGCCTGACCTTTTTGTTCTTGGCCAGATATGTTTTTATTACTCAGAATCTTCTTCGTTTGTTCATTAAAACCTGTCCAATTTGCGTAGTACATTTTGTTGGGAATGGTAATTATAGGATAGTTGAAGTCTATAGAATTTTTTCTTCTTTGCCGATTAATGGGAAAGGAGAAGTTTATTTTAGGCCATATTTGCTATGGGTTTGAGGCCCGAATCATCCCAAAAGGCAGGATTTATAGTAAATTTTTATTGTATGAGTGTTTCCTGTATTGTAGTGTTTCTTATACCTTACCGGAAACCAGAGAATGAGTTTCTGCTACTATAATACCTGTCTTTTTCTTTTTTTTTCTGGTATACTCTGGATAGAATCCAGGGGTACATTACCACTAATACATCCCCATTTATTTTCATTTTTTATTTTTTTAGACAGAGTCTTATTATAGTCTGCCCTTGAACTTGAGATCCTCCTGATTTATCCTCCCAAACAGCTGAGATTACAGGTGTATAGCACCATATCCAATTTATAAACCCCTTCTTGTTCAATATTTTGTGGATGTTGGAAGACAGGTGGTAGGTGCTAGGGATTTAAAGAGAATGAAATTGTTTTTACTCTGAAGTAAAATGAAATGAAGAAAATATCCAAGTACTATATTATTCATAGTCTAAATGTATTGCGCATTCAGTTGCCCAAGTGGTGTGAACATTATTTTTTAAAAATCTTTGTGGATTTTTTCGCAGATTTTCCGCAGATTTCCAGTGGCCCCACTGATCCCTTATCCACTCATCACCAAGGTTTGTTTAAATCTTATGCTTGACAATACTTGTGTTTACTGCTAATTGCCTGATTTGATTTCTGTCAGATTTCATTATTTAACTTTAAAATGGTAGATTTGTTAGTATAGGTATTTTTGTTTATTTATATTTTCTTAAGACTTGTACAATATGTCTAACATTTAAGTTTTTCTATTGATGTGGGTTTTTCTTTATTCATTACCTCCTGTTCCCCTTGTTTTTTAGGAGGATATAAATGCCATAGAAATGGAAGAAGACAAAAGAGACCTGATATCGCGAGAGATCAGCAAATTCAGAGACACACACAAGGTAGTATTCTTGTTTTTTCACTTGATTTCAATCTAGACTTTTTACAGAATCCAAAGCAAACAGACAAGAAAATCAACCTTACATTAGAATATATTTTTAAATGTTTTTTTGTAGGTTTAATTGATACTTAGGTAAAAACAAAGAAAAACAAGACTAGTATCATATTAAAGTGGTCCTTGACATACTGTGCTTAGTTTTTTCAGTTACTGACTACTCTACAGTCATTTCACTTTAATATGAATAAAAGTTAATTTTTAGATTTCAACATAAACATCAAGGTCAGATTTAAATTAGTTTCAAGGGGACATTAGGATAACATACATATAGTGTAGTATATTTCTGGGGACAGTGTAACTTAATTTTAGGAAAACCTTTTCTTTAGAGCTGAGATTAAAATTTAAGATTTATATTTGTTTAGATTTTAGTTGAGTGGGGGAGATTTTTAAAAGTAGGTCAGTGGTTACCAGACTTACCAAATTTTAGATGCATGGAAGAACTGTAAATTCCCATAAAGCTAATCTATTCATTGACCCCCACCATTATGATAGAGATCATATGGTGACTAATGCAAGATGAAACTCTCAGCTTGGAAAGTAACAAGGAATAGGATGTAAGTATGAGCTTCTGTTTTTTATTATATTTATGGATGCCCCCTCAGAAAAATATGCAAAGGGGTAACTGGCTTGGAAATGGGTATTTGTGTCTAGTAAATCCCACTCACGAGTTTTGCCTATTTAAAGCTTCTCTCAATGACAGTGCATCTGGGAGTGTTCGCTGGTGTTAAAGGTGATGCTTATGGATGGTGAAATGCAAAACTGCATGAAATGTATTTTGAAGGTAGAGGTAATAGGATGTTACTGGTTATTGCTCATAGTCTGAGAGATCTTTAACTCAAGTGAAATGTTAAGTGTTCATTGTGTCTCTGTTCAATTTGATTTTTTGTTTTCTCATTGCTTTCCATATCCCATGTTGACAATGAATGCCAGTGAATCAGTGTTGCTGAACACTTAATGTCTAGAGGCCCAGCCATAGCCCACCTACACAGTGCTTTTTCAGGAATTTAATGTGTCTGAAAGCACACGTGCAATTCTCCCAAAATCTGAGTCAAATGGTGATCTGTTGGAGTTCATTTTATAGGAATACTTTTGTTTAGGTTCAATACTCAAATTTAGGGCTGAGTAAGCTTAAAAATGGTATATAGTTGTGTGTGTGGTTTACCCCCCCTTTTTGTTTTTATTTATTTGTCAAACCTTGTTGTGCTATTAGTAAATTATGAGGAAACCATGTTTGAAAAAAAATTCAAAAGATAATTGCTTCATAATTTAAGAACCTTCAGGCATTTCATTGCCTTACTATTATTTTAATGGGCTGAATGTTTTGAATTTCCAAAATGCTTTAAATATTAAAAAATGAAAACAAAACAAAAATAGTTCTCATTGGGTGGTGTGATTAAAGAGGGTATTTGAAATTCTAGTAACAAGAAAAGAGCTCAGTGAACCTTTGCATGTTTTGATGTGAGTTTATTAAATAACCACGGACTGTCAGGGTATCAGCGTGGCAGGGGGCGTCCATTTACAGCACGGATGAGTCTGAAGAGAGAATAAGGTAAGATTTTTGATTTTTAAAAATCTATCCTTTCCTTTTTTCTTTTACTATCTTACATTTTTTAGACACGCCCCATTTCTTCTTTCTCCAGTCTCTAAAAATATACATATATATGCTATATATATATGTCTAAATATATCTCCTTGTGTGCACATACATACACACATATATAGCATATATAAATAAGTAACTTTTTAGAAAAACATTTAGTATGGAGTAGAACCTCATTTTCATTTATATAGAACCAAATTTTTGAAATGAGTTTTGAAACATTATGTAATAGAATAAATAACATAGTGAATGAGCAAGAGTACAGAATTGAGGAATTGTACAGTAGAAATTAATATTGGAACAGCTAAAAAAATCTGTAAGTATCTACAATCTCAGAAATAAATTTCTTATAAGTGTATGACATTGAGGTAAGTTTTAAGTAGTCTAGCCTCATTTTATAGTATAAGTTTCTATCTTTCATTAGAAGTGTTTCAGAAGTGAGATTTTTGACCCCTTAATAGTTTTCAGTTTCTGTTTTCTACCATTTCTTATCTCTTCCCTTTGTAGTTTCAATGTATTCAGTACTGGCTCTGCCTTCACTCTGCTTTGATTTAGACGGGCATGGTAGCTGAATATATTGATGTCTCATACATTAGCTTTTCTTTCATAATCCTCTATCAGTTCTCTGATCCATGAGAAGAGGAAAAAGAGTATCTCACAGGTAAGACTGCTTTTAAAGTTGTTTTAAATGCTTTACATGACTGAGAAAAGAAAAATGGACATTTTATTGTTGCAGTTTAAATTTCATTTTGGTGAAACTAAACATGGAACCAAAGGGATAAATGTGTTTTGGTTTTGTTTTGTTTTACCTGTTTGGTTTTTCTTTTTCTTTTCTTCTGAGTTTATATAGAAACCTTGTGGTACACGGGTTATATTTCAGGGTACGAACTTGGTCTGACTTTGTTATTTGGTTTATTTGTGAACGATGTACTTGCTCTTCCTCCCAGAAACATAGCTTGTAGGCAAGGTTAATCCAGTGTTGGCGATCCATGTCCTAGCACAACATCTGTAAGTTAATACACAATCATTCCTTCCAGGATGGATTTATCATTGTAAATATATTTTTATTGTCTTACAGGCATAATGGCATAAATATATTGCTTTTACATGTATTAACTGAAACTATTACAATAATGTACATTTTTGCTTGAAGTGAGTGATTTTCAAAGTTTTTGTATTTGGTGGGCTGTCCATCTTGTAATGGTGGGAGTAAATATTTCCATAGATAAGAAGGCAGATCTTGGCTGAATTCAGGTCATGTTTCTTTTGGCGGGTGGGCAAAGAAGAGGGCAGAATACTGGTTACATAATAGTGACTTCACTCTTTTCTGCCTTCTCTTTAAAGTCCTCAACCCTTAACCTTTAAGTAATGGAAAAATCTTTTTTTATGATTAGTATTACTGATTTACAGAGATTCATAATGGGCAGAATTCAGTTTTAGTCAAGTGATTGTATTTCTAGAAATTATGAAGAACCACCACATTCCTCATTGTCATTTTAGTATTGATCATTGAGTGGACAGCCACACTTGACACAATCTCCCAGCATCCAAGATTGGAGATTCCTGGTCTGTGTAGAGTATATGGTTTTGCACGAAAAAGTAGTCTTGTGATTGTTTCAGTTTAATTTGTCAAGTAAAACCACAGATATTTAATATTAAAGTACCAGTGGTTTGATGTTTTGTTCCTAATAATGGGCATTGCGCCGGGAAAAACCTGAATACTGAAGCTGCAGAGTTAACTCTAAAAGTACTTTTATTGGTTTCTAGAAACTGGAAGAAGAGAAAGGCAAAAAGGAAAAAGAAAGACAGGAAATTGAGAAAGAACGGAGAGAAAGAGAGAGGGAGCGTGAAAGGGAACGAGAAAGGCGAGAACGGGAACGAGAAAGGGAAAGAGAACGTGAACGAGAAAAGGAGAAAGAACGGGAGCGGGAACGAGAACGGGATAGGGACCGTGACCGGACAAAGGAGCGAGATCGTGATCGGGATCGAGAGAGAGATCGGGACCGGGATCGGGAAAGGAGCTCAGATCGTAATAAAGATCGGAGTCGATCAAGGTAAGTCCTTATGGAACATGGTTGGTGGATTTGGTTGAACTAAGATTAGTCCTCCCTGTTACCATTTGCATTTATGAATTGAGGGAACTTTCCTAGCTAGCAAACATTCTTGGTTTTCTACACAGATGGATAACATTGGTGAAATTAATAATTTCAGCTGTGTAGTTAACTTTCACCTTTTTTGGACTGGTTGTTTTTCATTTAAAATTGTGTTGTAATTTGATTTCATTTGAAAAGTCATTTTATTCTTTATAGGAATTAGGGCAGAAGCAAACAAATGAAGCAAGGAGATAATGGGAGGAGGGAAGAAAAGTCACATTCTTTTTCACCCTAGTTTTGAAATACACATTACTTTCGCAGTTTTTTACTTGATTGTAGATGGAAGGAGGTACGCTTTGATAGTTTCAATATAGGCTCACAGTCTGTACTTGACATTAAATTCCCTCCTTTCCTTCCTTCTTCAATATAGCTGTTATGGAGAATTTAACGTGAAAAATCAAAGTATTGTTTTACAAACTTTTATGGCAGATATGTACATATCACTGGCATCATTCTACATATTTTATGTTATTTTTGTCATTTAGGATTTTATGGTTGACATTTTAAAATGCTTATATGTCAATATTTATACTTTTTTTCCGGGCAATGTGGCAAAGTTCTCTTCATGTTTGTCAGTACCATATTACTTGAGCACTAGTTAGGTAAATTGACTGTTCATATGTTCATTGTGTTTTCTTTGGGATTGAACAATGTCTTTTTTTTCCCTATTATATACTATATTATATGATGTAATATGTATATAATATGTAATATCTCTTTTAATTTTTTAATCTTTTTTTTTTTAAGAACAACTTACAGCATTTTTCCTTTGACTCAAAGAATAACTTGATCTTATTTATTTATTTTGAGAGAGAGAGAGAGAGAATTTATTAATATTTATTTTTTAGTTCTCGGCGGACACAACGTCTTTGTATGACGAGGATCGAACCCGGGCCGCACGCATGCCGGGCAAGCGCGCTAAGGCTTGAGCCACATCCCCAGCCCCAAATTTTTTAATCTTTTTAAATCTCGGTTTTATGTATTTGTTTTCTGACATACAAAGAAGCATTAATTTTCACTGTAGACTGCATTTCACAAATTGGGGCTGCAATTTGTCATTCTTTGCTCTGCCCCTTTTCCTTTGCTTTCCTGATTTTTTTTTTTCCATACCACATTTTTCACCCTCAGCGCCTAGTGTGTCTTTCCAAAGAGTATAGAGAAGTTTAAAATTCTGAGAAAAACAAATGATAAATTCTGGATTGAGAATTTGTATGTTGGTTTATATAATATATATGTTGTTCTTGGTCCTTAAAAGAAAAGTTAAATTAGTCTCACAGAGTTTTAAAAAAAATCTTTCCTTTATATAGAGAAAAGAGCAGAGATCGTGAAAGGGAACGAGAACGGGAAAGAGAGAGAGAGCGAGAACGGGAGAGAGAGCGAGAACGGGAGCGTGAGAGAGAGCGAGAAAGAGAACGGGAGCGGGAAAGAGAGAAAGACAAAAAACGAGACCGAGAAGAGGATGAGGAAGATGCTTATGAGAGAAGAAAACTTGAAAGAAAACTCAGAGAGAAAGAAGCTGCTTATCAAGAGGTAAATTAAGGAAGTGTTTTCATTAGTGCGCACGCACGCGTGTGCGTGTGTGTATGATATTGGGGTTCAAACATGGAACCTCATGCATGCTGGGCAAGTGTTAAACCACTGAGCTACATCTCTAGCACTGTTTGAATTTTATTTTGAGACAGGTTCTTTCCCATGCTAGACTTGAACTTGTAAGTATCCTGCCTTAGGTTCCTGATTATCTGGGATTCTACATGTGCACACACACGCACACACACCCTTTAATATCATTTGTGCAAGTTTAATACATTTTTACAAATAACCTTTTGTACTTCTGTTTTTTTTGAAATATATATGTTTTAGTTGTATTTTATTTATTTTTATGTAGTGCTGATATTCGAACCAGCACGTGCTAGGTGAGTGATGTACTGTTGAGCCACAACCACAGCCCCTGTTCTTCTGTTTTTAAAGCATGTTAATTTTGGGGGGCAGGGGGAATCTGTATATGAGTCAAGCAGTTTACCAGCTGAGCTATATTCCCTGTCTCTGTGTTATATTTTGTATGTTAGTTATTGTGGAATCCTTTGTATAAATTTTTAAGGCTTGAAAATTTCTTTTTTAGCGTCTTAAGAATTGGGAAATTAGAGAACGGAAGAAAACCCGGGAATATGAGAAGGAGGCTGAAAGAGAAGAAGAAAGAAGAAGAGAAATGGTAAGATTCCAGGTTAAAAATAAGTGATTTTGGTCTTACAGTTGTAGCTTAGTAGTAGGGCGCTTGACGAGCACGTATGAGACAGTGGGTTTGATTGTCCGTACCACATAAAAATAAATAAGCAATAAAATAAAGTTATAAGAAATACAAGAATATTTTTAAATAAATTGTTTTTAGGTAAAAACCAGATTGATTCTTACTGTTAACTAGAACTAACTTTATAATCATATTATATTAATTTCATAGTTCATAGATAATGTTTGTGTATTTCAAGCCATCTTGACATATTTTCGGTATGCAGATCTTTTGTTTTAAGTTTTTGCTGCCCATAAAATTATATAAGCATAATATTTAAATAAATTTATCATAATATATAAACAGTGTTTCTAGAACATGTTTTGGTTAAGAATCCACAAAATTATTGAGTTGGCGTAGTTGGCTAAAGCAAATAATTTAAAAAGACTTGTTTTAATAAATCAAAAGTAATGTTTTTCTGTATAACATGTTGTTCCTTAGCTCAACCATATTATTCTTTAACAACAACATGAACTTAAAATGAATTTTGCCATTTGTATTTACACTATTCATAAGCTAATAGTAAAGCAATTGGCATAGTTATTAAGTAAACTGATGAAGAGATTATTTTATCATAGTATTTGCTTTAGTGGTATGTTCCATGTGTTCTGTCTTTGCCAGAATATGGAATTTTCTTTATCTCCAGTTTGGAGATTATTCATCCAAAACTTCACTGGAGTTAGGAATCTTCTCCAAATAGCTTTTAACCTTGAAACATAGAGGGATTTTTTGTAAGTAACCTGAAGGGTGCATGCAGCAAGTACATAGATATTATGGCTTTTCTAGATGTTAGATCCAGTGTTAGACATATTCATTTAAATTTTTAAAAATTAGATTAAAAATTATAAAAGGCAGGCTGGGGTTGTACCTTAGGGGTACAGCACTTGCCCAGCATTGTTAAGTACTGGGTGCTATCCTCATAACCATAAATATAAATAAGTAAAATAAAGTATTGTGCGAACCGCAACTAAAAATATTAAAAAAAAAAAATTAAAAGGCTGGAAATCTAGGACCATGATAGTGTGTGTGTTCCTGGGTTCAATCCCTATTACTGCAACAAAGGCTTTAAAACTCCTGTTTCAGAATTTCTTTTTCATTCTTAAGATTAGAAACTAGGAAGAGAATAATATATGAGAGAGAATTAATTAGGGGAAGAAATGCAATCAACAGCATTGTAATGATTCTTGCAATTCTTGTAATGATTCTTATCCTTACATGGTAATCTGAAGCTTTTCTATAGAGAAAACATTGTATGTGAATTAGTTGTATTTATGAGTTAAGAAAATCCAGTTACATAAGCAGTTACTTGCTCATGTTCTTGTTTCACCCCCATCATCTTATGAGTAGTAAGCTGTGTTTATATTTCAGTGTTAACCTGATGGGCCTTCCTATGTACCCATACCTCAATAATTAAAGACATATGTAAACCCTCTCAATTACTGTTGCCAGCATACTAACTCCTTTAATTCATTTGACAAATTTGAGTGTATTCCACCTTGTGTCTTAAGTACTGGGCATATAAGAATTACTAATTATCCTAATTTTGAAATGAGTATCCTTATTGAATAAAGCAATTATTGTAAGGGGCATGTTTTGGGTGTGTTTAAGATGCCTTCACAATATTTTAGAAGCACAGAAAGAATACTATTTTCTGCTTTCAAGGAGGGCTTTTCATGTATATTGTTATATTGTGGAAATTTGCACTAGATGAAATGTGTCAAACCATTGTCTGCTTTGTATATAGACATGAGTTTTTTATTTAATAGTTACTATAGATAATAGATAAATGGAGATAAAAAATATATTTAAAATAATTAGGTATGATTGTTATATTTGTTAAACTGGAAATTCCAAAAATAAGTGATTTCATGTAGTGTCGTGGTTGGTTCTATCGGCTTAATGTTAGGAAGACAGGTGGGAAATTTTTTTGAGTGTAGTCTGATTTATTTTTAAAAAATTGTTCTTTATAGATATACATGACTGTAGAATGCATTTTGACATACATACATGGAGTATAACTTATTGTAGTTAGGATTTCAGTCTTGTGGTTGAACATGATGTGAAGATACAGTGCTTATGTATTAATATACAGGGTGGGAAATATTTTTTTTTAAGTTAGGTAGGTATTTCGTTTATATTGGTGCATGAACATAAATCAAAATTTTTATCTTGATTTCATTAGAAACAGCATCATCTATGGATAAAATAAAATAAAATTTAAAGTATTTTTTGATTAATAAATTTAATACCTTCTATTTCCTAGTGTGCCCAGATTTCATTGGTGAATAATTATTGTAAAACTGATAATTATATTCACACAGAAGATATTATTTGTAACATACTATTTTTTCATAGATTAAATCCTAAAGCTATTGTTTTATAGATAAAAGAAGTGTGATTTACACTTAATACATGAAGTATATAAGAACTCTAAAATTGAAGTAATTTGAATAAGAAAAAAGTGTATTCCCAAGAAAGGACAAGTGGACTATATGAATGACTCTTATATATGTTACTTTTGTATACTTTGTTCTTCATTTCCGCAAAGGCCAAAGAGGCTAAACGACTAAAAGAATTCTTAGAAGACTATGATGATGATAGAGATGATCCCAAATATTACAGGTAAGGAAGCTTTGCTTTATGAACTTATATTTCAGGTTGTTTTGTTGTTGTTGATGATGGTGTTGTTTTTGTGGTGCTGAGGATTGAACCCAAGGCTTTGCCCATGCTAGATGAATGCTATACCACTGAGCCACTTCCTTGGCTTAGTTTTGTATTGCCTTGTGAACCTGAGAGTGCAGGTTTCCTAAGTGTAGGAAGAAAGCTTGAAATGATTTGTGGGACCTGGAGGGAATAGGAGAAACATGGAGTAAGGTATTAGGAAAATAAAAATAATTCAGTGTTATCTTTTGGATTGGGGAAACATATAATAGTATACCAAAGAATACTTTTTTTTCCAATTGTTATATAACAAATCCTTACAGGTATTTAATGTTTTCTAGAAAGTTTTGTTTTCGAGGAATTCAAGAGTGGTATATGTTAAACTTCTCTCCCAGTTTTCTACTTAATCCGTATAGTGATTCATTACTGTGAAGTGAAAATTTTAATTTATTCCTGTTTTTGATTGCCTAGTCACATCCCCAGCCCTATTTTGTATTTTATTGATAGAGTCTCACTGAGTTGCTTAGTGCCTCGCTTTTGCTGAGGCTGACTTTTAATTCTTGATCCTCTTGCCTCAGCCTCCCAAAATGTTAGGGTTATCGGCGTGTTCCCAGTATTCTCTGGTATTTATTTCTATTCTTTCCTTTTAACACTTATGGCATGATGGTAAGATATTTTTTGGTACCTCTCAATCAAACTACATGTTCCTTGAGGTACTGGACACTATCTTGCTAAAATTTTATTATCTCTACTGTGTGTCAGATAGGATGCAGGCATAATAATGGGATTGAATATATTAATACACTGTAGGCAAAATATTTAAATACTGAATTCAGTAACTTAAACTGAAGGAGTGCCAATGATTTGACTTTGTAAAAAATGCTGCAAAGTAGGGAAAATTATTGAGTTCTAGAATTATAAAATAGTAATGCATAATTATACATTCTGAAACATAGTGGATTATTACATAGGAGCAGCTTCTCCTTTTTTTAACTTTTTTAGTTGGTGAATTTTAAAATTTTATTTATTTATTTGATTGTTATGTGGTATTGAAAAACGAACTCAGTGCCTCTCAAAAAATCTAAGCATGTGAGCTACCACTGAGCCACAGTCTCACCCCAGGAACCTCTCCTTTCTGTGGATTCTTCATTACTTCATTCTGGAATGTTTCTATAAGGAAAAGAATGAATTGAGGATACAACCTTTTTTTTTTTTTTTAATTAAGTACTGAGGCCTTATATGTAATCTTCAATTAAATTACATCCCCCAGTCCTGTAACTATTTTTAGTGGTATTATTAATGCTGCTTATATTAATTTTTCAATATTTTTGCATTGAGAAAATGCCAGTAAGGTTGGCATTTGAGGAAATTCAAGTTATTCACTGTGGGGGTTCACTGTGAAATGGGCATGTAATGAAAGCTCCATTACCTCTGAAAGCTACCTTTTTACTTGTTTTAGATACTTAAAGTGACTTTCAGAATTTAAAATGGTAATTAATGACAAGACAATGTTAATTTTTTATACATTAACATGTAGAGATTCATTGTCAATATCCTATTGAGATAGTACATAATTAAGACAATTTTAATCCTTAGCATAAAATTTTTATTATTGAACATAGATGTTGTTAGATATATCTGTAGTATTCAGTGACCTAAGTGTTAAATGAGAACTGTTACTTTTTGCAGGGGGAGTGCTCTTCAGAAAAGGTTGCGTGATAGAGAAAAGGAAATGGAAGCAGATGAACGAGATCGGAAGAGAGAAAAGGAAGAGCTGGAGGAAATTAGGCAACGCCTTTTAGCAGAAGGGCACCCAGATCCAGATGCAGAGCTTCAGAGGGTGAGAGATACTACAATATCTTTAATGATATTGCTTTATGTTTAAAAGCTGTATTTTTTGAAAATATTTTTTTTAGTTGTAGATGGACTTGATATCAAATAAAGATATTTATTTTTATGTGTTGCTCAGGATCGAACCCAGTGCCCCACGCATGCGAGGCAAGTGCTCTACCACTGAGCTATAATCCCAGCCCAAAAGCTGTACTTTTGTTTAAGCAGAATACTTGTGAGGCTGGGGTTGTGGTTCACTGGTTAGAGCATTTGCCTATCACAGCGAAGCACTGGGATCGATCCTCTGCACATCTAAATAAAATAAATATGTATAAAAAAGGAATACATGTTACTGTTTCATGGAATTTACTGTTTTGTACTGTTTATTTCATTTTTATTATAGAAATCAACAGGATTTATTTCCTCTTTATTCTGAGTATTTTACAAATGTATGATCAAACAATTGCAAATCATTTAATTTGTCGTTTTTTTTTTTTTGGTGGGAGTGAATCTAGAACCCTTGGATGTCCTAAAACTCAGCTACATCTGAAAGCCATTTTTTTCTCCCCAACTGAGAACCATTTTTATTTTCTGTTTTAAGGAACATCATCTTTCAGTACATTGCCCAGACTGCTTTCAACTTGGAATCCTGGAGCCTTAGCCTTCCAAGTTGCTGGGATTATAGTTATGTGTCATATCATTTTATTTGAAGACATCTTAAAATTCAAATAATTCCTTTGTGTTTCATGATTGTTTTTTTTCCTCACCTCACTTTTTAAAATTAGTGCTTTATAGTTATTCATAGTGGTGGGATCTTTACATATTTGTACATGCCCACAATATAACAATGTGATTTGGCTAATGTCATTCCCTAGTATTCACCCTTTTCATTGCCTTCTCCCTCTCCTTTGTCCCTTTCTTTTATTCTACTGATCTCCCTTTGATTTTCATGAGATTATGACCCCTGCCTCCCCACCCCACTCCTTTCTTTTCCATTTTCCTTTCTAGCTTCCACATGAGAGAAAAAGATGACCACAAACCTTCCAAGTTTGCCTTATTTCTATTAGCATAATATCCACAGTTTATCCATTTTCTTGCAAATGTCATGATTTGATATTTCTTTATGACTGAATAAATCTCCAATTTGTGTATATACCACATCTTTTTTTATCCATTGATGGACATCTAGGGTTCCATAGTTTGGCTGTTGTGAATTGTGCTATAAACGTGAATATGTATTTATTGTAATATGATGACTTTGCTTCTATAGGATAAAGAGTGGAGTTTATAGCTGGGTTATTTGAGGAACCTCAACAGTGATTGCCATAGTACTCAAGCTGATTTATAATACCACAGATATGTTCCTTTTACTCCATTTTCTTTCCATTGGTGACTCATTTCTTGTCACATGAATACATGAAGCATAACATGTATTCCTTTTTTTAAACTTATTTTATTTAGATGTGCAGAGGATGGATCCCAGTGCCCAGTGGCTAGAATTGTGTTCTTCCTATAATTTGGTAATGTTTAATGACTTCTTGTGATTTGAGTTGCCTTCCCTCCTTTTTTACCCCAGTACTGGGAATAATTTTAGGGTACTTAACCACCAAGCCAGGTTCTCACTAAATTGTTTATGACCTTGATAAGTTGCTAAGGCTATCCTCAAACTTGTGATCCACTTGCCTTAACTTCCAGAATTGCTGGTATTACAGGCATCTGCCAGCTAGGTTCCTTCTCATAAAATACAGATATATATATATATATATATATATATATATATATATATATATATTTTAAGAGAGAGAAAAGTTTTTAATATTTATTTTTTAATTTTCGGCAGACATTGGGGCTGGGGATGTGGCTTAAGCAGTAGCGCGCTTGCTTGGCATGCGTGCGGCCTGGGTTCGATCCTCAGCACCACATACAGATGTTGTGTCCGCCAAATACTAAAAAATAAATATTAAAATTCTTCCCCCCCCTTTAAAAAAATTTTTTTTTCTGCAGACACAACATCTTTGTTTTGTATGTGGTGCTGAGGATTGAACCCGGGCACATTCGTGCCATGCCAGCGTGCTACTGCTTGAGCCACATCCCCAGCCCACAAAATACAGATATTTTTGTCAGCAGAATGTCATTTAAAGAAGCAACAGACCCTATTCTTGCATTTAAGAATAGAGTGTCATTTTAGAAAAGTTTTTAGTTCTCACTATATGGTGAATCTAATAATATTATGAATTTTTGTTAAGTTTTTGTGTAAATCTCAATGTAGATAACAAAAAGGAATCATTTAATGATATAGTACCCTAATTTTAGTAACAGTAATGATGCTTTCTTTTCATATAGTTTTCATCTTTTTGTTGTTCGTCGTTGACTCAGATTCCTTTCTTTCCCAATTTGTTCTTTAACTTGTTTAGGAATACAAAAATAACTACTAGCTTTAGTCATCACCTAGAGAAATGATTGTCTATGACCATTCTGATGATTTGAGTTCCCTTTTATGTGTTGCCTATACTCTAAAATAAAGCTTTCATTTATAGTTCAGTGAAAATATAAACATGCTGAGTGTGGTTCCACATACCTGTAATCCCAGAAGCTCAAAAAGCGGAGTCAGGAGGATTGTAAATTCAAAGCCAGGCTTTGGTTAAGCACCCCTGGGTTCAATCCTCAGTACCCAAGAAACAAAACAAGAAACAAAATAACCCCGGAAAATATAAGCATATACTGTGGCCTTTTGAATTCAGCAGATTAGTTTGTATTTGTCTTTGTAACCTTTGAAGATCTTGTATAAGTTACTGAAGGATTTATTCAGTTTTCTGATTACCAAGTAAATAGTGTTCACTCACATCTAAGCAACAAAAAAGGGTAGGGTTGTGGATATAGCTCAGAGGGAGAGTTTATGCTTATGATTGTAAGGCTCTAGGTCCACCGAAGAAAAGTTATTGTACAGAAAAACATTGTAAATCAAAAAACAAGTTAGGGTTGTGTTCTCTTTTAAATAACTTTTTTGTTTGTAGATGGAACAAGAGGCTGAGAGGCGTAGACAACCACAAATAAAGCAAGAGCCAGAATCAGAGGAAGAAGAAGAAGAAAAGCAAGAAAAAGAAGAAAAACGAGAAGAACCCATGGAAGAGGAAGAAGAACCAGAGCAAAAGCCTTGTCTCAAACCAACTCTGAGGCCCATCAGTTCAGCGCCATCTGTTTCCTCTGCTAGTGGAAATGCAACGCCCAACACTCCTGGGGACGAGTCACCCTGTGGTATTATTATTCCTCATGAAAACTCACCAGATCAACAACAACCTGAGGAACATAGGCCAAAAATAGGACTAAGTCTTAAACTGGGTATGTTAACATTTCTCCTCACCCATGTGTATATTTTGCTTTAAGGAAAAATAAATAATACGCTCCTTGGTAGGTAGATAGAAAAGTATTAAAAATGCCTTTCTAGCTCACGATTGTTTTCATAGTCCTACTAGTGCTCCTTATCTGCAGCTGCCTCGAGTTCTGAGAAGAAGTGAAAAGTTAAATTTTCTAGCACTTGTGAGTAGTGAGTTATTTTTTACAGTTGGCCTCTTTCTCTGAGATTTGTGAAAGCAATTTCTGCTGCTTTTGAGGGATGGTGGGTTGTCAGATGTTGACATTTGGCAGTGAAGCCATCTTGCTAACATAGTGTTTTTACTATAGGTGCTTCCAATAGTCCTGGTCAGCCTAATTCTGTGAAGAGAAAGAAACTACCTGTAGATAGTGTCTTTAACAAATTTGAGGATGAAGACAGTGATGATGTTCCCCGCAAAAGGAAACTTGTTCCCTTGGATTATGGTGAAGATGATAAAAATGCTGCCAAAGGCACTGTAAACACTGAAGAAAAGCGCAAACATATTAAGAGTCTAATTGAGAAAATTCCTACAGCCAAACCTGAGCTCTTTGCTTATCCTTTGGATTGGTCTATTGTGGATTCTGTGAGTAGCAAATTGTATGTCATCAAGTTATTGGGAATGGATTTAAATATGGCATGCTTATTTGATTACATTAATGACAACAGGTAGGGATGATCTTGACACTGAGTAAATGCCACAGTCAAGGAATTTCTAATGGGAAAACTTTTGGTAGTTGATATCTTCATTGATTATAAGAAATGATTATGTCTTGGTGTGTACCTGTCTTAGTTCAACTTGCAAAGGAACATACTGTATTTTACTTTGGGGTTTAGTACATGTAGTAAAAGATATAATTCTTTTATTCATTAACTATGTTATGTTTTGTAGATATTGATGGAACGACGAATTAGACCATGGATTAATAAGAAAATCATAGAATACATAGGTGAAGAAGAAGCTACATTAGTTGATTTTGTTTGTTCTAAGGTTAGTCTTTTATTCTTTCCACTGTTAACATTTATTTGATCACTAGTTTAACATTTAAGCTAGTAGACATTTTGTGACATAAGAAAGTCTTACAGAAACCTTCATAGTGTAATTTCATTTAAGTGATCCATTGCTGCTTTTCTACCCTACTTTAGATCTGTAAAACCACTTGCTTTCCATTAAGAGTAAAAGAAGGACAGAGCTGTTGACTGATGTCTAATCTGCTTTGTCTTGTTATTTCTGAAAATTCTGTGCCATCCTATTGTCTTGGTTAGAAGAATGATGTTGAAATATATATGACATTTTGTGAAGGTAGTTGACATCTTGTCCCATCATCTTCTTTTGTCAGTTACCTATCTTTTGGAAATGGAGCCAATAGTATTTTCCATAACATAATTGTAGTTACCTATTGACTGTTTATGAAGTTATTGGTAGGTTCTGTGTTAACATTTTGTTAGTCTTTAAAACCTCCTGAAAACTGTAGGAAATCGTAAGTCACTTAAGTATTCCCATGAAGAAACAGGTTAATGGAGAGGTTGTCTCTTGGCCATGACAAGCGGCCAGACCAGGGTTTCCTTTAAGGTAAAGAGATTAAAAAACTTGATTAGAGAAGTTGATTATGGTTAGAATGAAATAAGTAACAGCATCTTGCCTCTAAAACCAATATTCTTCTCCCACCAAGGTGTATTATGTCCTTCCATTATCACCTCAAATAGTAGTAATACAAGAGTTACTGGGAGTAGAAACATTATTTTCCTATAAAGATGTAATTAATTCTGTCATTCTCCACCAGGAGTGCTTTTTTCCCTTTTTCTTCCTCCTCTCCCCTCCTCTTTTCTAACCTTCATCTACAGGGCATGAAACCCAGGGCCTTAATAAGCATTAGGTGAATGCTATACCACTGAGCTTTACCTCCAATCCCAGGACTGCTTTTTTAACATGTATGTATAAGAGACTTAGGCTCCAAACTTGTGCAAAGTTTGAATTACAAATGATAGATATTACTGTGATTAAGATTTTAGAATGAAAATCTTAATGGAAAGTTTGCTCAGACATAAGAAATTCCCATTACCCGTTTGAGGGTCCATTCCTTAAAACTTTTTGGCTATTATATTGCAATGTTTTGTTTTCAGTGTCCATTTTTTTTCCTCTTTTTAAGGTTATGGCTCATAGTTCACCTCAGAGCATTTTAGATGATGTCGCCATGGTAAGTTAGTAATCCATTATTTTTATTAATATCTATATGAAGAAACTAGTTTGTGAATTTGAATCATTTTTTATCTATGCTGATTTTAGAAATTTTTTGTTAGGCCTGTATTAAAATTTGAATGTGTGTTAAAATATTAAAGGAATTTACAATATAAAAATTAAATTCTGGATTTGTTTGTATATTCTGAGACCATTTATTAAGAGCTTACTGATTAGATTAGTGTGCTAGAAACATTAAATAGTACACCATCTGCTCTTAATTTTATCTGGTTGAATTTATTTAATATTTAATATTGTGATTTAATGAGAAAAGTAGGAAAAGATAGTTGATGGGAAAGGTGAGGGAGTAACAATGAGATCTATGTCTAAGTTGGAGAATAAAATAATAACCTGAGTAGAACTGTGAATCAAGAACTGGTAGTTCCAATGAACTTCTGGGAAATATGTTGGAATAAAACAACTGGAAAGAGAGGTTATGATCACAGAGTGGAATGTTTAAGAATATAAGTGCTAAATCAGTCCAGATGGTGGCAAGCTGTGAAGTATAGATGGAGGAAATTTCTAGGTGTTGGGAAAGGATTAGAAAATAATGTTGGAGTCAACTGCCAGAATACTTATTTTAATGTGGGGCGAAGAATAGGCTGGCTAGGTAAACTCCTGTTGGAGCAAAGAGGCTAATGTAATGAGATCTCATGCATTGTCCATGGAGGTGGTTTGTTTTTTTTTTTTTAAATATATTGTTTATTGATTTTTATGTGGTACTGAGGGTTAAACCCAGTGCCTCACTTGCACGAGACAAGAAGTCTGCCATTGAGCCACAACCCCAGCCCCATGGATGTGTTTTTAATAAGAATAGAAACAGTAAAGAACAGCAGCCTCTTCTGTGGATACTAAAACATGACATGATCCTGAGAAGATTACTGAAATGTCAGAGGCTCAAGGGGTCAGTTAAGGGTTTCCATTAAGGTAAAGAGATGAAAAAAACTGGTTAAAGAAGTTGATTATGGCTAGAATGAAATGGAATAGGTATCCAAAGGGGTGAGTGAGAAGGCAGCAATGCAATAGGTCAGAGAGGAAGAAGAAAAGTCAAACATGAAGAATGACTAAGAGAGTGAGCATTTTCACCTTTAAGTCAATATGTAAGTGAGAGGTACAGTGGATATGTCAGGAAGAGGCACAGTGGGCTTCCTCGCCAGGAGGAGGTAATTTGTGATAGAGATGTTTTGTGTCCAAGTACAGTTTGTGTCTAAAGCCAGGTAACATTTGTTTTCTACTCCCATCCCAAAGCCTGATGATTTTGTTTAGAATTCCTTTTCACACTTCTGTGAAAAGTTTGTTGTCTTCGCAATGCTTAACCTCAGAGGAAAGGAGAAATGTGTATAGGTCTCCTAGTTAAGGTTGAATTCTGATCTTTTTCCTGTGCTTCTAATCTCTTTTAAATGTTATACTTTTGGTAGAGTTAGGGTATCTAGTTAGGCCTGGCTGAAGAAAGTTTTTCAAAGTGGATGTTCTTGTTTTGGGTGTTGGCAGAGTTGTATTCACAGTGAAGATATTTTCATTTTTCAAGCACTCTTGCTTTTCAGTATTTCTGGCTCACTGTTCATCAGAGTGGTAGGAAGCCAGCATTACTCAAGTGTTGTCAAATAGTTCTTTTAAATATGGGCTCTCTGAGTATTTCTTGAATGAGATGTAAATTTTAGTTCAAGTAGTACCTTAATAAATATCTGACTTTATCAAATTATACCTTTCGTTGTTTTACATAAATTAACGAACTTTGGTTTTACTTTGTGCCTGTATATTATTTATGAAGTATGACTAACATGAACTGTTGCATACAGGTTCTCAGGCTAGGAGCAAATGTGAATATAAGACTGATTAAAATTCCTTTAGTTGTGATCTTTGAGAAGTGGAAAAAATCAGTCATAAAAATAAAAATTTCTGTCTTCATGTAAATACTCAACTAAGCACTAATTATGACTAAGTACTCTTCAGAGCACTTTGCATATGAACTAAAGTAGTACCTAAGATTCTTAACATAGATAGGTATAAGTCTTCCATTTTACAATGAAGGAAACTGAACCTGGTTTGGGCTCAGAGCAGGCTTTGTGGTGGGAACACAAGGCATTGAAGTCCTAAGTTGACAGGAAAAAAATTGGTCTATTCATTTGCCAGTGGAAAAGACTTGTTATTCAATGTCTTGTATCCCCTGGTGGTGATGATGGTGTTCTCTTAATGTGTTTACTATATTCCAGAGACTGTATTAAATTCTCTATATGTTCTCATTTACTATTTCATTCAGCATCAGCTAATAAGCACTTAATAATGTTAAACACTGTCAGGTTGTTTAGGGGAATAAATGAGAAACAGTTGTATATTTAGTTCTTCCTAAGTCATCCTGACAAACATTTTGATTTCCTGAGTATGTAGTTCTGCCAGACATGTTTAAATGTATCTGTAAAGTTGAAAATAAAAGAATAAAAATTGGATGAAAGAACATTGTGGTGCTAAGTGCTTAGCAAGCCAGTGAATTTTTTAGTGTAGTTCTCACACTATAGAACTTTCCTTTAAGTCATTTTATTGAAAATAAATGCTCTAGCTGGAGCAATCAGACAAAAGAAATTAAAGGGATATGCATAGGAAAAAAAGAACTCTAAACTATCACTGTTTGCCTATGATATGATTCTATATTTAGAAGTTCCAAAAATTCCAACAGAAAACTTCTAGAACTAATAAATGAATTCATCAGAGTGGCAGGATATAAAATCAATACCCATAAATCATATGCATTTTTATACATAAGCGAAGAATCCATTGAAAGAGAAATTATGAGAACTACCCCATTTAAATGGCTGAGGTTAAGGGTCAGCGTTAGAGCGCTCACCCTGCACTTGTAAGGCCCTGGGTTCGATCCTCAGCACCACATAAAAATAAACAAATAAATATAAAGTTATTGTGTTCAATACAACTACAAAAAATCAATACTTATAAAAATAAAATAGACTAAAAAAATACTTGGGAATCAGTCTAACAGAAGAGATGAAAGACTTCTAAAATGAAAATACAGAACACTGGGCTGGGGATGTGGCTCAATCGGTAGCGCGCTCTCCTGGCATGCGTGCGGCCCGGGTTTGATCCTCAGCACCACATACAAAGATGTCGTGTCCGTGGAAAACTAAAAAATAATAAATATTAAAAATTCTCTCTCTCTCTTAAAAAAAAAAGAAGAAAATACAGAACACTAAAGAACGAAATTAAAGAAGACCATAGAAGATAGAAAGATCTCTCATGCTCTCATGCTCCCGCTTGAGCCACATCCCCAGCCCCCAAAATGACATTCTTTTTAGAACTAGAAAAAGCAATCATGAAAATCATTTGGAGTAATAAGAGATCCAGAATAGCCAAAGCAGGAGGCACCACAGTTCTAGAACTTAAAGTATACGACCAAGCTACAGTTAACAGAAATAGCATGGTATTGGCACCAAAATAGACATGTAGACCAATGGTACAGAATACAGTTATCCTCATACTAGACAAAGGCGCCAAAAACATACATTGGAGAAAGGATAGCCTCTTAAACGAAGTGCTGGGAAAACTGGAAATCCATATGTAGCAAAATGAAATTAAACCTGTATTTCTCACCAACCACAAAACTTAAAGTGGATCAAGGACCTAGGACCTGCATCTAATAGATGAAAAAGTAGGCCCAAATCTTCATGTTGTATTAGGCCCTGACTTCCTTAACAGCATTCCTAAAGCATAAGAAATAAAATCAAGAATCAATAAATGGGATGAATTCAGTCTAAAAAGCTTTATCTCAGCAAAAGAAACAATCATTGAGGCGAAGAGATTTTATTACACACATCAGAGTGCAATCAGGATAGATAAAGAACTCAAAAAACTTGAACCAACATCCATCCTAATCAATAAATGGACAGACACTTCTCAGATGATACATAGACGGTTAACAAATACATGAAAAAAATGTTCAACATCTAAAATTAGAGAAATGCAAATAAGAACTGCTTCATCTCACTTCAGTCAGAATGGCAGTTATCAAGAAGTGTTATAAGTATTGGGAGGATTTGGGGAAAAAGGTACACTAATACATTCCAGGTGGGACTGCAAATAGGTGCAATCACTTTGGAAAATAGTGTGGAGATTCCTCAGGAAATATGGAATGGAACCACCATTTGACCCAGCTATCCCATTCCTCGGTTTATTTCCAAAGGACTTGAAATCAGCATACTATAGTGATGCAGCCAAACAAATGTTTATAGCAGCTCAGTTCACAATACCTAAACTGGAACCAACTAGATGCCCATCAATTGAAGAATGGATAAAGAAAGTGTGGTATATATACACAATGGAATATTATTCAGCATTAAAATTATGGCATTTGCAGTTAAATGGATGGAGTTGGAGAATATTATGCTAAGCCTAGTAAGCCAATCCCAAGAAACTAAACGCCTAATGTTTTCTCTGATTAGTGTGTGATGATCCATGATGGAGTGCTGTGCATAGGAGAATGGAGAAACTTTAGATTGGCAAAGGAGAGAGTGGTGAGGGAATATGGGGGTAGAAAAGATGGTGGAATGAGATGGACATTATTACTATGTATGATTGCACGAATGGTGCGTCTTTACTTCATGTACAGCCAGAGAATTGAAATATCACACTCATTTTGTGTGTGATGAATTTAAATGCATTCTGCCGTCATATACAACTAAAAAATAAAGAAAAAGAAAAGATGCTTTTCAGTGGATAAAGTTCTAAGTCACTATTGTTGGGAGATGGTGATAACTTATCTTCCATGTGTTACTTAGTGTTCTTTTTTTTCTCTTGCAGGTACTTGATGAAGAAGCAGAAGTTTTTATAGTCAAAATGTGGAGATTATTGATATATGAAACAGAAGCCAAGAAAATTGGTCTTGTGAAGTAAAACTCTTTTTACATTTAGAGTTCCATTTCAGATTTCTTCTTTCTCACCCTTCAAAGGACTTTGAATTTTTTTTTGTCTTCAAAGGCATTTGTGAGATCTGTAATTTTTTTTTTAATGTAGAAAATGTGAATTTTTTTTTTTTTTTTTGGTCCTCTAATTTGTTAATTCCCTGTGTACTCCCTTGGTTGTAAAGTCATCTGAATCCTTGGTTCTCTTTATACTCACCAGGTACAAATTACTGGTATGTTTTATAAGCTGCAGCTACTGTACACAGCCTATCTGATATAATCTTGTTCTGCTGATTTGTTCCTTGTAAATATTAAAATGACTCCCCAATTCTTTTGCAGAATTCCACTTAATATTGAACCGTACTGTATAGGAACCAATGTGAATGATTTTAATTGAAAGTATATCAGTCATATCTATTACCACCTCCACCCTCCTTTGATGAGAAATGGCAAGCCCTCATGAAAGCGTGAAATTTAAAATTAGTATGCAAAAATTAGCAGACAATCCATTCTTACTGTATCTCCGTATGAGTGTGTTTGTGTGAATGTATGTATAAAAGTCTATCTTTTCCCTAATTGCTTTGGTGGGGTTCCCTTAAATGTTTCCTAATTGAACAATAGAATCAAAAAGGAAAGTGATATTGTGCCAATCCAAATGTCTGGTATAATAAGGTTAGAGGTTCCCAGAGCATGGTATTCTCCTGTGGTGAAAAGTAGTCTGCTGTTAGGATTGGGTTTCCCTGTGTATAGCTGACTGCTTCAGATTCTTTTGTAAAGGAGTATGGATTCCTCCTCATCCCCAATTTCATTGCTCAGAAATGATGCAAATTCTAAAATTTTGGGAAAGTTTTTTTTTAGCCCATTTTGTCCCATTGTCTGATATGTGGAATACATATAAAACTTAATTGAGCAACACTTGTGATAACTTTGAAATAATACTTGAACGTATTTTTTTGCAGAATTGAAAACTTGGAATTTAATGGGTTTAGTACATTTGTGTAATAACTGGTCCTTGATCTTGGTGTACTCCTTTGTTTAAGGGGAAAAGAAATCTTCATTCCAAAAGCATTAGTGGAGAAGAAGGAGGGGGGAGGGAAACCTTAAAAACAAAGGGACTGAGGATGTAGCTCAGTGGTAGAGTCATACTTTTCATGCTAGAGCTCTGGGTTCAATCCCTTGCACCAAGAAATATAAAGTCAAAACAAAGGATAAAATTAGATTAAGTTTACAAGCTAGAAGAATTTGCCAAACCAGGAATATAGCTTTGCAATTTATAAGGATAAATGATTCAAGGCATCTACCAATCTCTTCTCATCCAAGTTTAAATATAACTGATGATACGTTTAGAGACATACCAGGGGCTTTTTTAATGGTATATGAGACTATTACCTGGGAGCAAAATATACCTGAAAATCTAACAATTTTTAAACAGTGCTTTCTTAATTCAAATTAGGTGCAGCTTTTCCCATGTCTATTTATTTAAAAGAAAAAGATTGGCCTGTTAGAAAAGCCTAACTGAGCTTAAGTTACTAGATTTTTTTTTACATTTTTTGAGGATATTTGGAAACACTGTTCTGAAACATTGAGCCATGATATGGTTCCATTATGTAAATATTTGAAACATTAAAAATGTATATATTTGATCTTGGGGATTCATTCTTTCAGAGTCTTGTAAATAATGGCATCATGTTGTAATCATGTAGTACATGCTAAAAAATATGGGCTGAATTTTTTAATGGGCTTGGTTTTTATGACTTGGTGTTAGATCAAAGAGGCCTTTTACCTTATTTTGGATGAATCTACAGTATATGGAAATATGTCTTTGTGGTGATAAAATATTTAAATTTTGGTTTCTTAAGGGAAAATTTCAGAAAGATGCGCCTGTAATTGTACAAATTTATTAACCTTCTCTCAGATTCATCCTGGCTATCAGCCTAAGATCTAGGCCACAGCAGTTTATTTTGCTCCTGTATCTTACCATATTGCATAGTTATTGCTTCTAAGATTTTAGATTAGGTGGCTTTTATTCAATATATATTCACATTTTTTTAGATCAGAGCAGGAGTGGCCATAGTAAGTAGCAGGGATTCAAAGACTTAATAAAGTCATGGTCTAATGCTAGCTCAAATCAAGTTTTGTCACTAAGCTTCATCAAAAACCTTTTAGGTTTTCAGAGTTTCTTCAGAATTACATATAAAGAATTGGACATCTATAAAGTGGCATATTCTAGTGTCTTGCAAAAATGTTTCTCTGAAATTCCTTGAATTTTGTCTTTACCATGAGCCTATAAATTAATTTCAGTTAGGAAACCCTATATTAATTCATATTGCCCATTCAAATTATTATAAAACTACACTAAAAGTCTTCAGAACCATTGCTGGTCTGGCATTTAGAAAACTAAAATGCTGTTTCCTCATTTGACCCTAAAAATAATTTAGGTATATATAAAGGAAGAAAGGTAAGTAAAAAAATTGAGGTAGTTTTTCTTAAACTTCAGTGTGTGCTTAAATCACTTGGTGGACCTTGTTCTAGTTCAGAACTTTGTTTAGTAGGGCTGGGTAGTCATGACATTTTGCAGCTCCCGTTTGATGCCAGTGACAACTGATCTTACTAAGGACTGTATTTTGATGAGCACTTTAAGGTAACTACTCAGTATTATTTTTAGTCTAACAGAGTACACAAATGCATCTTAGTTTTTCTTTTTAAGTAGATTTTAAAGAAAAAACATTTTGAAAGCAGATATATGAAAAATTTTCTATTCAGGAACATAATCTTCCAAGGTCATGACTGAGAACTACCCTAATAGTCTAGGTTTTCTCCCAGCCAGCCTTTGATCATGTTCTCCTTTGAAAGTTTTTTTTTTTCTTTTAGTTTTATCATTGTCATTCCTATAAACTATATAATAGTATGAATTCGTAATTATTTTTCAGGGTGCTGTTTCAAGTCACAAATCAGGCATGAATACTAGCTCTGAGCATATTGAAAAAACATTGGTTTGAGCTGAATTGAACTGGCACTCTCTTTTTTTCCCCTCCATTCATATGAAATAGAAAAAAATTTTATGATACAAATAAATGTAATCAGGTATTATACAATGTTTATATGGTCTTTTTGCCCAAATCCTGGTAATAAGTTCTATGCATGTCCTCAATTAATACCCCAAAACTGATGAAAGCTCTTCTGTCAAAAGTGTTATAGATTTTTCTGGGTCATGTTTCAACAGTATGAGATTGATGAGTAATTTTGGTTAGGAAAAAAATGATGAAATTGATTTGTGAATGGTGCTGGAGATAAAAATAGTATGAGAAAGAATCTAGATAGGCAAATAAACAGTATGGGTATCAAAAAGAATAAAAGGAAATATGTATTAAACCCAGGAGCTATTACTACTATTACATTCATACTGTAGACCAAAATGATAAACTGTTAGGTTTTTTTGGGAAATATGATTATTGTGAATTATTGAAATATTTATGTTCATCATTTTGCATTTCAGTGCTTACCTGTTCCATCTTTGATATATGTCTTTCCATTTCATTTATTATTTGAGTTAATGAAGGTCAAATTAGGAGTAGCAATATTAAATGCCCAGTAAAAGTAATTTCTAAAGCAAAAATGAATAAAAAATTCTTTCTAAGCAATGTTTTTGGAATTACATGACATGCCAGAGTTTGTGTACTCTGCTATATCACTGATCAGTTGGATTGATTGAGTTTTTTAGATTGTTGGGCACTGAAAGGGAGCTAATGCCTCTATTTTTGGTGTATGTTTATTTAGTCACTGAAGCTCATGGTATTGAGATCAGAGCTTTTCTTGTTATAGATAATCTTACTATGAATTAACCCATTAAAATGTATCTTGCAGTTACATATTTTTATATAGTTTTGCATTCAGTGACTTTTTTTGGTATACTTTTGTGCCATTCATGCTATCAGCTTAAGTAGATGTGATACATAAGACAAGTTCCTCTATTATCTAAGTTTGGACAAAAATTAAGTACACAGGAAGTTATGGAACAGCAGAATGTATACATACAAAGTACTGTATGAATTATTGAAGTTGCCAGTTTCACGTTTGAGGGGGGGAGCCAATAGAAATGTTCTTAGCCCCTGTACAAATGGTCATGTAGCCTGTATATGGGATTCTAATTGTCTAGATTTGCATTATCAAATAGTAACCACTAATGACAAACAGTTTCATAATGAAATTTATCAATCACCCAAGCCATATCTTGGGTTTCTAGAATCACATGTTTTCAGATATTCACATGGGACAGTGCCAGTCTAAATGGAAATATGGACTTGGTAATGTGCTTGCTAATTGGGGGGAAAAAAAAATCCCAGCATAGAATTGAAAGCATTTTTAGCAAAATTTTTTTGAAACAAAGTTTTGTGAATTGAAGAATAGTTACAAACAACTATTTTCCTGCTTTCTTGTTTTTGGTAACAAAAAGAAAAACTATACACACTTTACATTGTTGAGTCCAAAAATAATAATCGAAGATCATTTTTTCCCCTGTTAATTTACAGTGTTGGTAACTGTGACCAAAGAGACTTGACTTGTTTTTATTGTGGGTGGAAAAGCTATAGGTGTTCTTTCTGTTCAGCTTGAGGCAGATTTCTAAAGGGATGGTCCAAGTTATTAGATAAGGAAATTAGATGTAGTAATACAAAAACGAAAAATATTTAGAACCTTACACTAGAAGAAACCAGGTGTGGTGGCAAATGTCTGTAATTCCAGGTACTTAGGAGGAGGAGACAGGAGGATTGTTTTTGAGGTCATCCTGGAGGATGTAGCTATACCCTGTCTCAAAAAATTGAAAGAACTATGGATGTACTTCAGTGGTGGAGGGCTTAACTACTTAGCACACAGAAGGCACTTGGGTCTATCTGTAGTGTCACAAGGCCAGGTGATAGGAAGGGAGGCACATTAGAAAAGTTGTTAAGCATGTTCTTTGCAGTTCTGGTTCTTAAGTTGGTTACAACATCCATCTTAAAATCTCGGGTTTCTGCAGGCGCATATACTCCACATACCCTATCAAGAAGACCTCCCTCACCTCACTTGCTTTGTTTGCTAACCACATTTCTGCTATTTTTTTGTGCTTTGCTTAGGTAATTTCCATTTTCTTAGTCTGGAACTTGTTTTAAAGAACAATACTTGGGCTGGGGTTGTAGTTGGTGGAGCGCTTGCCTAGCATGCGTGAGCCACTGGGTTCAATCCTCAGCACCACAAAAATAAAATAAAGGTATTGTGTCCATCTACTATAAAATTATTAAAAATAAACAATACTTGGATCCTAACTTTTCCATTATATTATTGAGATTCCTGAAAGAGTGGTTTTTTTAATGTGCTCTCCAAATGTCTCAAATCTCACTTAACCTTCATTGTACCTCACCATTCCACTGATGGCTGGTGACTAGTGACAGCCTTGTAAGAGGCTATGGACATTTGCTCCATGCCTGGATATTTTCATGGTGTCTATCACTTTTGCCTCATCCAAGTCTGTCTCAGTGTTCTGCTTAGTGTACCCTGGATGTTTGTATTACTATAAAGATGAAGGGATATCGAAAACTGGAAAAAGTTATCTGTTGTTACTCATTCTCTACCTTTTTAATACCTTTTTTGTTTCCGTTTGCAAGAATGTTTTGATGCTGAGTGTAAGTAGTTATAATATGTCTTTAATAGAAAAAAATTTTTCGTGCACATCATTTTTAATGACATCAAATGGGTGATTTATTATAGGACATTTCACTTCCAATTTTTGTCAAGTCAATATACCATGAATATCTTTGCACAAAATTTTTGTATCAAGATTGTTTTTAAGAACAGCATTAAAAACATTTTTAAACAGCATTTTTAAGAACAACATTCTACTCAGCAGATTGTAATCGAAGAGACTGAAGTAATTCACAAATAAGTTTAGCCATGTTTCACAAATGTATAATAGAAGTCTTCTATATGTGAGGCATTGTTATCAGCACGTGTGATATACAAGTGAACAAATCCGCGAAAACCCTTACCCTTAGGATATTTAAGGGTGGTAGAAGTCAGCGATTTTACAGATTACCTTTCATTTGTTGTTCCACTCCCCTTTCTCCATTTTTTTCTTTCAACCCTATTAATGGAAAAGATCACTTAAGTATTGGAGCAGTGTTGAGTGTGGGCAAGGGAGGAGCGAGGGATTGGGGGTTGATGTTCTTGAATGTGAAGGTGTATTTTGAGAAATTTGAAATAAATGTGAAAAATATCATTTGGCAAGTTATGTCCGTGTTCATTTTTAGTTTTCTGATTACCCGAGTTTGAACACTTACATTATTCACTATTGGATACTTTCAGATAAAAATGTATGAATGTTAGCACATAGCTCTATAAAAAGATACGGAGAAATGACCTGATTGAGCAACCCACTGTGAACCTAATATTTGGAATTTTAAAACTAAGACACTTTCTGCTGTTGAGAAACTTATCGTCTAGGAGTACTAGAGTCTTGGAGACTTGAGTCCAGGAGGATAATTTAGAATGCAGTTTCTCGGGTTCTCCATCCACCAGAAGTTTTGTTTATTAGATGGGGAGTGGGTATATATATTTAAGATTTTAGGTAGCATCCTCTTAGTGATGCAGCTGATTTGCATTTTGAGTTAACCTTCGAAACAAGTAGTGGAGAGAAAAAAAATTGAGGAGTCATCACGTGAAAGCTGGAAAAAACAAGCTGGGCCGGGTGTACGTGGAATCTTGTTCTCCGCTCCACGGGAGCCTCAGATCTCTGACCACCTCCAACATCGGGCAGCATCCTAAACCGGTTGCTCCAGGAGCGCGTGGCTGGTTGTAGCTCAGGGATCCCCCACCTCCGCAGTCTGCGCGCACGGCCGGAAGCTCCGCCTCCTCCTAGGCTAATAGCCAACGTCGCCAGGGCCGGAAATGACGACACCCGTGAGGCCTCTAGGGCGGGGCCTGGGACGGGCTGCTCAGGAGGCCTTGATTTCACATCGGAAACAAAACAGCGGCAGCTTGGGAAAGAACATCGGCTGCGAGTGGGTTGCGGCGGCCGGGAAGGAGAAGGTGCGTGATCCGGTGTCTGGGGAAAGAGAAAGGTGTCCCTAACTCTGTGTTGACAGAGGCGGCCGCAGACAAGGCCCGGTCCTTTGTCGCCGCGGGTTGCGGAGCCGGTGTCCTCGAGGATGAGGGGCGGGGCGCGGCCGGGTGGAGACCGAGGAACCTCTCGTGGGAAACGAGGAGGGGCGGCCGGTTTCTTGGGTTCCCGGCGCGGCGCGCGTTCAGGTTGGAGATTCCCCTCCGATCTTTGGCCTGGAAATGCTGTCTTCCCGAAACCACCTCTCAGGGTGCAGGTGCTTGGAGTGGAGCAGGAGAAAGAGGAAGCGCCCTGGGCTGGGTCGGCTTGAGCAACTGCTGAAACTCTCGCGCTTCAAGCTCAGTGTCCTTTCCAGAAGTGAGTGGCGCTCAGGGCCAAGTTCCCCACGTCTCACTTGCCACGCGATAAGCTGGTCTGTTGCTTTTTCCTTGATCGAGATTGTCACGATGCATGTGTGTTTGATGCTTGCATGCGTCTTCAATATTTGCTTCTTTTCCTTCTGTCACATTCTTTTCATATGCGTGGCACTGTGGTGATTAAGAGCTTCGCTTTAGGCACATCAGTCTGGTAGTGGAGGCTGGAACAGCTAAGAGAATTGAGGTGACTTTTGCATAATTCAGGTGAGATAATGAAAGTTGGCAGAGGCTTAGGAGAAAAGGACCTGAACTAAACATAAACGAATTGAGCAGGGAATGAAGTGTGAAGTTGTGTAGGAGGTTTTAAGTTTAGAGGATGGGAGACAGTATCTCAGAAATAAGGAAGTCAGGAGGAAAGAACTAAAGAGGAATGACCAGGAAGTGGTTTGGAAGTATCACTTTTAAAGTGTCAGCAGGTGAAAATGCCCTGTGGCCAGTAAAGGAACAGTAAATATGAGTCACTTTGCCAGTTGATGCTGGATTAATGGAGGATATACCTAAGAGAAGAAAGGGAAGGCGGAGGCCAAAGACAAGACTAGGGAACATTTATAATAAGGGGGCGATACAAGGGTGAGGAGGCTGTTGAGGAGAATGAGTGTGGGAGGAGGAGAACCACAACAGGGCAATGTCAGAACAGCTGAGGAAGGGAGGGAAGCTTCAGGAAGGAAGATACTGTCAGGGATTTGGGGTGTTTGGCCTGCTGTAGCATAAAGAATGGAAAATTTAGAGCAGCACTGTTCAGTAGAAACAATGTGAGCCACAAATGTTAATTTAGAATTTTGGTATAGACATATTTTTAAAGGTAACAACAAACAGGTGAAATTAATTTGAATGGTATTTTATTTAACCTAGTATAACTAACATTTTTGTTTCAGCATGTAGTCAATAGAAAATTTCCTTGTTTGTCTTCCCTTCTAGATAGTAAGCTCCTAAGTAGACAAAAGCAATATATGATTCCCTAGCATCCCCAGTACCTATCACAGTTTAGCCAGACATGGCGATGCGTGCCTGTTATCCCAGCTACTTGGAAGACTGAGGCAAGAGGACGTTCAAGGACAGCCTGGGCAATTTAGTGGGACTCTGTCTTAAAATAAAATATAAAAAGGGCTGGAGTTGTAGCTCAGTGGTAAAGTGTCCCTGGGTTCAACACCCAGTTCAAAAAAAAAATAAGAAAAAAGGAATTTTTTAATAATGTATTCTTAATAATGTGCTTCGTTTTCTAAGGCCCTGTGGGGGAACCTATATAGCATGTGGTATTTGCGTCATATGTCCTTTATTAAACCAAAAATTCTGAATTGTAAACAGGACCTAAGGGTTCAGATAAAGGATTCTGGGTTTGTCTCAGTTCATCTTTGTTGTATCTTCTGAGCCAGCATCACCATTATTTTAAAGCAAGTTGCTACAGTAACTCTACACAGCTTACCTCCCCCAACCTTAGCAGATTAGAGCATTTATTCTCACTCCAGTATTTATTCTCTGCTTCAAGATGTAGGTGTGTAAATAGTGGGGGACCATTCTGTTTTGCCTGTCTATTCTGAGGTCCAGGCTGAAGGGGCAGGAGCTACCCAGGGTGAGCTCAAAACAACAGCAGAAGTACAAGAAGGCAGCCAGTTATGGTGGCACATATGTGTAATCCCAGCAACTCCAGAGTCTGAGGCAGGATTGGAAGTTTGAGGCCAGCCTCAACAATTTAGCAAGACCCGGTTCCAAAATAAAAAAGGGCTGGGGATTTAGCTCATTTTTAAAGTGCCCCTGAGTTCAATCCTTGGTACAAAAAAAAAAAAACAAAAAAAAACCCAACTATAATTAATCAATTGGCATCTAAACTTTTCATCTTAACTTTGCAGAAAGAGAAACAAATGCCTCTCTATTTACCATCTGAGAATGTTCAAGAGCTTGTATAAAATGGTGTTGTATTTGCATATAACCTACACACATCTGTAAACTTTAACTCATCTCTAGATTCTACCTAATATAATGCATATGCTGTTTGGGGAATGACAAGAAAGTCTGTTCAGTATGGACAATTCTTTTATTGTGAGATGTTTTCTGTGATTGAATTGGAGGATGGGGGCCCTGAGGACATGGAGGGCTGACTGGGAATTCTGGGGAAGGGAGCGGATATTTGGTGAATAATAATCTAATCTACCACAGATGGTTCACAGAGGTGGAGTGGGATGGAAGGAGGGGGAAAAAAATCACTAAATAGGATGCATCGCTGTCCTTGCTCTTTTTAGCACTTACCACTTTGAAAAAATCTCTTCTGGGGCTGGCGAATGATTTGCTCCTAATCACTTAAAAATCAGAAGTCTTCCAAGGATGTAGTCCCAAAGTTTTCAATTAATTTAGATTTTTTTTTTTTTGGTACTGGGGATTGATCCCAGGGCCTTGTGCATGCAAGGCAAGCACTCTACCAACTGAACTATATCCCCAGCCCTAAATTATTTTTTAGTTAATTTCAATTATAGAATACAGTTTAGTGTGGTTACATTTACTGTTGGATGTGAGCCTTTAAATACTCCACCCACCTGTGTAACTAGAACTTGAGCTGCCTGTGGGGAGGAGCTGTCAAAATGATACCAAGAGTGAAATACTTTCTTTGGAAAAGAATAAGTCAGAAACTGATTTGGTCCTTGAAAACTTTTTAGCCTCATAATGCAGGTTAAGCAAAAAATACTTCTGGCAGTTTTCTAAGTGAAAGAGAAACTGGTCAAGTGGTTTAGCCAGTCAAGCAAGTCAACGAACTTTTTGTGCTGGAGGAGCTCATGACTAAGTCTCATGAAGAGATTTCTGTACAATACCAGTTTTTTTTTTTAAATATTTATCTCTGAGAGTGAAGAAAGAGATGGTACCAAATATTAAGTAACTGATGTTCTACAGGAGCTTGAGATTTAGTTGTTATCTTGGGAATGTAGTAAGAGGGAGGAATAAATATATGTACACACACACACACACACACACACACACAATTTTCTGTGGGTGCTTCCACTAATGTAATTTTTAATAAACCTAATTTGAGATTCTAAATATTTCCTTGGTGATACTTTCTGGAATGCTAAAGGATAGAGAAGGTTTCCAGTTGGACAGATTTTTCTCATCTAAGCTTTGAGGTTATTTGTAGTTCTCTTGGGACTTTTTTAGTCTCTTTGTATAAAGTAGAAAGAAATTCTAGTTGCTCATCAGACTACAATTTCTCTTTCCTTTTGTCTGATTGAGCAAATGTCTTGAGAGAAAGGAAATGGATGGCAGTGAATTCAAATGATGAGCTCTGTCAGTCCTCTGCAGGTGGCCAGAGAGGAAGGCACCTGATCCACTTCTGTCCCTCCTTCTCCTTCTGAGGCAGGTCACATGAAAGATCCTCTCTTCCCAGCTACTATTTTTTTGGGTTCAGAAGGCTCAGCTGAAATGTTATAAAATCTAAGAGTGTCTTTTGTCATGCTTCCTGAACAGTGGGGTCATTGACCTTTTCTATGCAGTCATCAATTGCTTTCAGCTGCTACTGGACCCTAATCAACTCTGCTTGGCCTGCCCCTTGGTACCAATAGTATGTGTTTGTTCTCCAGGCCTGACCAGGCTCTGCTGCCTGCCTCTGCTTCCTTCTGTGCTCCATGTGAAGCCAGCTCCTCCAGGGATGCTCACCCTGTAACACTGTGACCTTCAGAGCATCAGGGGAGGCCTGCAATTTTTCTCTGAATGACTGGAAACCCCGCCACTAGATATCGGATGACCTGGGTTCTAAAACTGACTTTCTAATTCACTTGCTCCTTAACCAGCTGAGGCAAATGCTTTTACCTTTCCTGAGTTTTTGTTGTTTGTTTATTTGTTTGTTTGTTTTTACATGTAAGTACTGATTCTTTTCCTCAAGATTTTTTTTAAAGAATCAAATGGAATAATGGTTGTGGAAAAACTTTGAAAATGGTATTGATATGCTAAAGCGGCAACCTTGATATTGATAATTCTTGTTAAGATTTGTTTGAGAAAACTCCAGTATGGTGATCAATTTGTCTGCATTCTGGTAATAGCTGAACAAATCCTATGTAAAGGTAAAAAATGGAAACTGTTTAAATTAAAATGACCAGACTTCATCCTTTTGAAAAATAAATACTAGGATTGTACTATGGAGAATGGTTTTGGTACTTCAGGTTTTAATTTATAGTTAGAGCAGTTATTGAAGTTAAAGATCTCATTTACTTGTAAGCAGTAGGTTTTACTGGTAATAAAAATCAGCTCAATATATCTTAGACCTCATTGCTATAAATTCCTATAGGGCAGAGATGGAATTTTACAAAGGCAATAGAATATAACATCCAGTTCCTTTGTTTGCCAGATCTGACTTGGGCAGGTCAATTAACTTCTGTCTGCCATGATGTTTTTATCTGTAAAATAAGTACAGTGAAGGTAATAAGTTTGCTAAATCTCAGTGTCTTGAGTTTTGTAAGGAAGTAGATGGTGTTTATCTTATTTAGCAAAAGAATAATCACTTTCTTATTGTTTATTATTATTCTAAATTTATAGTACAAGGTTATAGGTTATTCTGATCTTATTTAAATGTATAATCGCCTTTCTCCTGCTTTTATTTTACCAGTAAATGTAATATACTTTATTCCATTTATTATGTTTTATTTATGTTCACCTGCATTACCCTTTCTTGCCTTCTGTCTTTGTTTTGTTTGGCTAACACTGTCTTTTTTACTTATTTCGTTTATGACGTATCATATAAGAAAGTTAATGGCCGGGTGCAGTGGCTCACTCCTGTAATCCCAGTGGCTGGAGAGGCTGAGGCAGGAGGATTTCGAGTTCAAAGCCAGCCTCAGCAAAAATGAGACACTAAACCACTCAGTGAAACCTTGTCTCTAAATCAGTTACAAAATAGGGATGAGGGTGTGCCTCAATGGTTGAGTACCCCTGAGTTCAATCCCTGGTACCAAAAAAAAAAAGTTAATGACAGATTTCTAAGGATTTTCTATACTAGAGCTGTACTTTCAGTGATATAGTTGTCAGAGTGATTCCGCCGGTTATTGGTGACAAGTTCTGCTTTGTCATATATTGAAGTATAACATTAGAGAAGAATACTGTGGCAAGCATATAAAGCAGGGTTTATTTAAAAAGGGAGTAACATAGACTCCTTCCAGCAGGAAGAAGGGGGCCATAGCTGATATCCTGGTATCCCAAGAAGTGAGGGGTTTTTGCCCTTTTTTGTATGTCTCAGGCTTCCTTTGTTCTCCTGCTCTCTTCCCCTTATCTCTCTCCTTCCTGCATATGTGAGTAGGCCCAAGAGAGCTCAGGTGGGGTGGCCAAAAGGTGAGAAGCAGATGAATGGGGGAAGGGCCAGATGGAGCAGCCCAGGACCCATTAATTAACTACTTTTATAACTCCAGGGAGGGAGGGACAATTCCTGGGACAGGTTACCTTAGCAACAGGTTGGAGCAGGGGCAAGTTATCTTGGTAAGGGTGGAGGAAGGGCTCTGAAGGCATTTCATTCCCTCAGGGGGCAGTCTGCAACTTCCCAGACCCACTCCAATTGGCCTCCTTGATCCAGCCTGACTCAATTTACCAATCAATCCTGACTGCCTGTCTAATTTTGGCTTCACGAGCAGCCAGTGGGCATAACTGTTAAGAAATTTTCCAATGTGATATCTTTAAGCAAAAAAAAATTTTGGGTTAGCAAGTGTTTTTGTGGAAAGGAATGGCATAATATGTACTCTGCTCACCATTAATGGTACACTAATGTTAAAATTTCAACCACACAATTAACTTAAAAATCTAGTAAGGTGTGGGACACATGTTTTTAATCCCAGAGGCTCAGGAGGCTGAGGCAGGAGGGTCACAAGTTCAAAGCCAACCTCAGTAAATTAGTGAGGGCTTAACCAACTCAGTGAGACCCTGTCTTTAAATGAAATATAAAAAAGGGCTGGGAGAGCTGGGCTTGTGGCTCAATGATAGAGCACTTGCCTAGCATATGTGCAGTATTGGGTTTGATCCTCAGCACCGCATATAAACAAATAAATAAAATAAATAAATAAAACATAAAAATATATATATATAATAAAATATATATATAATAAAAAATAAATAAAAAAAATAAAATAAAAAAAATAAATAAAATAAAGGACCATCAAAAACTAAAGATATATTAATAAAAGGGGGGGGGGGATGTGGCTCAGTGGTTTAATGCCCCTGGTTAAATCCCTGATAACTCCCCTCCCCCAAAAGAAGTAGAAAATAAATAAAAAATAAAAATCTAGGAGTTTAAAGTAAGGACATTTACTTTGACTACTTACTGTTCATTGAAGCATAATATGGAAGTGCCACAGATCATGGGACTGCAGCTCAGTGCATTTTTACAAAGTGAAACCCATTTGTAGCTGGCACCCAGGTTAAGAAACAGGACAGTCCCTGTACTCCAAAAGCTTTCCACAGCCCCTCTTCCAGTGAAGAGACACCCCCCCCATAAAAGTAATTGTTTTTTGTTTTTGTTGTTTTTTTTTTTTTTTAGAGAGAGAGAGAGAGAGAGAGAGAATTTTTTAAAATATTTATTTTTTGGTTTTCGGCGGACACAACATCTTTGTTTGTATGTGGTACTGAGGATCAAACCCGGGCCGAACGCATGCCAGGTGAGCCTGCGACCGCTTGAGCCACATCCCCAGTCCAAAAGTAATTGTTTTTATTTGCATTTTCAATTTATTTTATCCTAAAACATTTACATTTACCATGTCTTACTTAATACTGATTTCTAACTCGCTGATCCCATGCCAGTTGGCTGTAGGCTGAGGGGAAGGGAGGAGAAAGGTGGACATGGTATATAAGAGCATGTATGCCTAGTTGGTTGAAAAGTTGACATGAGGGGCTGGAGTGTAGCTCAGTGGTAGTGCAGGTGCCCTAGCCTGAAGGAGGCCCCGGATTAGGTCCCCAGCACCCCCACAACCTTCATGATTTGAATGACCCAAATACAGGTAAATGAGGGCTAATTTGAACTTTACTAAAGGAAAAAGGTGCTTTATGCATTTTTTTAAATGACAAATAATTAGAAGAAAAAAAATTGGAATATTTAAAGGTTAGAGAATCATGAACTTAACAGTGAAAATGAAATGCGACATTGACAAAATGCTTTTTAATATAAACATGTACATGATGATGATTTATTTTATATTTGTTGTGTTTGTTTTTGTGGTGCTGAGGTTTGAACCCAGGGCCTCATATGTGCCAGGCAATTGCTCTATCCCTGAGCTACACTGCCAGCCTCCATGATAATGTTTTAGATATTGTGTTTAGTATATTCCAGGATACTTTTTAGGTATGTAAACAGATCATTCTCTTCTATGAAAAGTTGAAGTCCTAAAGGATTTGCTGGTAAAAATTAAGGTAGCCAGGCAAATTGGAATGTGGCCTCTAGGAGGCTGAAGTGTGAGAGACAGTTGTGTCTGTAAGTAGCTGTGCCAGGTGGCAAAGGAGAGACCTGGGGCTGGGAGTCAGAAGTCTGTGATTTGTGTCCTGTTCTCCATGACTATATGTCTATAAACAAGTCACTGAACTTTTCTGGATCCCTTTCTTTTTTTTTTTTTGTGGTGCTGGGGGTTGAACCCAGGGCCTCTTGCATGTGAGGCAAGCACTCTACCTACTGAGCTATATCCCCAGACCCCCTTTCTACTTTTTAATTTTTAGTTTATTGATTTTTTTGTGTGTGTTTGTGCTGGGGATTGAACTCAGGGCCTCGGGCATGCTAAGTACTGACACACACCCTAACCCCTTCCTCTGCTTTTATGAAATAGATGTTACTTGTCTACTATGCCTTGAGGCATTGTATTAGGATAAAATAAGACAACAGAAAGAATTTTGCAAAATTAAAAATAATTAGACAAATGTTTTGTTTTTGTGGTGATGGGGTTTGAACTAAGGGCATCATGCATATAAGTGTTTCACCCCTGAGCCACTCCCCCAGCCCATAGACAAATGATTGTATAGAGATATAAAAATTAAGTTGCAGTGGGACATGCCTATAATCCCGGCAGCTCAGGAGACTGAGGCAGAAGATTGCAAGTTGGAAGCCAGCATGGGCAATTTAGGGAGACCCTGTCTCAAAAAAGGCTGCAGATGTAGCTTAGTGGTAAAATGCCCTGGAGTTGAATCCCCACTACCACACACACTATATATATTGATTGGAGTGGTTAGCATGGCAAAAGAAGTATTAAACCGTCTTTAAAATCTTCTCTCTTTACTGTTAATCTAAAATAGTTGAGTATCTTTGTATTTGAGATCTCATTGTCAGAGAGGTGCCTTGAGCTGACAGTGCATCTCTCAGTCAAAGATCATGGCAAAGTTCCACATTTCTGGTTTGCAAGTTGGCCTTGTAAGTATTTAATGAGTATGAACTGATTTACTAGGATTTGACCAACTAGGACTGACCTGGTTAAATCCCATTTCAGATCTGATACAGGAGCCTACAAGTGACAACAGCCTTCAAGGTCCTTAGACAGCTTGGCTTGGAGGAGAACACATGAAAGAAAGGTTTGTTTGTTGCTGAATTTAATTTATAAAAGAGATTAAAAAATAAAAGTGTAATTGTAGTGAAAAAGTTCTGTTTTTCCCTTTCAGAGCCCCAGGAAGCTTTGTTTTCTGTGAAAAAGTATTTCTATACAGTTGCTCCAATGACAGAGTTACCTGCACCCTTGTCCTATTTCCAGAATGCACAGATGTCTGAGGACAACCACCTGAGCAATTCTGTACGTAGCCAGGTACAGTGTCAGCCTCTAAAACTTCCCTTGCCAGATTGTGGGTTAAGTTGTCAGCTCCCTTACTTCCAAGAGATGCTAAAGGAGATGGGCAGGCTTTTTCTACTATGCTAAATGTATGTATTTGTGAACTTCTACTGAGAGCAAAGCGTTGAACCCTTCTGTGCTGGGGGACAAAAGGCGAGTGTTGGTTTTTTTAAAATTTTTTTTTGTACTGAGGATGACACCCAGGGCTTCCTTTGTACTAGCTAAGTGCTCTACCACTCCCAGCTTTGCAAGGCTGTTTAAGACAGACTTTAATGCATTTCCTCTCTGGCTCAGATATCACCACCTCAGTTGAAGCCTTCTCCAACTTCCTGAAGTGTGAGCATGTCACAGTCCACATTTTACCTGTCTTGCTCTTAGTCTTCCATGGGCTGAGAGCATTTTATTTACTTTTCCCAGTATCTGGTAAGGTTCCTGACAGTGTTTAATAAATGTTCATCAACAAAATGATTGCACAATGTGAGGATTAAGTTCAAAGGAGGGAATCAGGTAAGGAGCTGTGTTACGTGGCATGGGACATGGAGACTCTTCACTGACTGTACACAGACATCAAATCTGCCTGCAAACCCATTAGCTAATCATTACAGATTAAGTGAACCTCCACTCCCACCTTATTCCACTGAAGGCTTGTGAGATGACAGAAAATTGGTAGGATTTTTAGAAAATGGAGCCAGCTTGGAGGAAAACAAGGCTAGCTATAGTCTCTGCAAGGTTTGCCTTCTGGGCTAGTGTGTACTTGTTGCTAAAATCAGTCACAAAGGACAGATAAGTCTACCAGCCAGATCTACAGAGGGATAGTTCACAGAATGGGCACTCAAACTAGAGGATTAGATGGCTTGAAGTTTTTTACATTCTGATGGTTTAGGATTCCTCATTTTTCTCGTCTGTAGAAGTAGGCGATTTACTAGATAATCTCAAAATTCTCTTCATATACATAAGCAATTTTTATTAAATAATACTGTTCATGTTTTAGAACTATGTATAAATGTATGTGTCTAATAAAAGTTGTAAAAGAAAGTTCCTACATTTTTGAAATTTAAACATGTAAGTATAGGATTAGTTTTTAGAATTTATGTATATAGACATGCATGTAGTCCTTCATTTATTTTCTCCTCTTGTGCAAATATAAAAATTATTCTGTTTATGAATATTAGGTAGTTTCCAATTTTCACAGTGACTGGCAGTGCTGCAGTCACATTCTCATTCATTAATCCTTGTGCACATGTGTTGAATTTCTCAAGAATAGTTTCTGTGATTTATTGTATGGATCTTAAACTATTTTAACGATTGCCAGAATGCTGTTCAAGATGATTTTATGTCAGGAGCATATATATGTATTTAATTTTTTATGCATGACAGTAGAACAAAAGGAAAGTTATGTCAGATTCATTGTATTGTCTTTTCCATTCCCATCCCCCCATCCCCCCTTTTCCAATTTGGTGAACCTCCACTCCCATCTTATTGTGAGTCAGCATCTGCATATTGGGGAGAACATTTGGCCTTTGGTTTTTTGGGGGTTGGCTTATTTTATTTAGCATGATAGCATCCAGTTCCATCCGTTTACTGGGAAATACATAATTTTTAGGAATATGTTGATGGGTCCTTTCTTTAACATCCTTGATGACATAATTTAGTTAAGACAGTTATGACTGTTGTCTAACTTGTTGCCTGTCATTTTGATGGGATTAAAATGGTGTATCATTTATTTATTTATTTGTTTTTCTTAAAAAAAGATTTTGGAGGGGTGTACAGGGAATTGAACCCAGGGGTATTTTACCACTGAGCTGTGTTCCCCAGACCTTTTTTTTTTTAAAAAAAAAAAGGAAAGAAAGAAAGAGAGAGAGATGGGTGCTGGGATTGTACCCAGGGCCTTGTGCATGCTGAGCATGCATTCTACCACTGAGCTATACCCCCCAGCCTTCATGCTATTTTAGTTGTATATTCATAATTTTTCTTAAGCTTATTGGACATTTTTGCTTTCTTTTTTGTGAATTGTGCCTTTATGTTCTTTTCCCATTCTTTTATTGGTTGTGTGTCTTTTTCTTACTGATTTTATAGAAATAGATATTTTGGGGGGTAATTAGCTCATGTTGTTTATATGCTTTTCATATATTTTCTCCAAGTCTTAGTTTCATTTTGTTTATGGTCCATAGTTTAAATATTTTAAGTAAGGGAATTGATCTTTCCTTTAAAAATGTGTAGTATTTAGCTGGGCTTGGTGGCACATTCCTGTAATCCACACATTCCTGTAATCCCAGTTATTTGGGAGGCTTAGACAAAAGGATTATAAATTCTAAGTCAGCCTGGGAAATTTAGCAAGACACTGTCTAAAATTAGAAAAAGAACTGGGGTATAGCTCAGTGGTACAGAACCCCTGGGTTCAATCTCTAGTACTGCAAAAAGATAAAGTAAAAATAATGATGGTGGTGATGAGGAATGTATTCATAATTTTTCAATTAAAAATAGTTTTAGAGCTGGACATGGTGGTGCTTGCCTATAATCCCAGTGACTCAAGAGGCTAAGACAGGAGGATTGCAAGTTTGAAGCCAGCTTGGGCAATTTAGGAAGACCATCAACAACTTAGCAAGACCCTGTTTAAAAAGAAAATAAATAAAAAGGTCTGGGGAGGGCTGGAGATGTGGCTCAAGCGGTAGCGCACTCGCTTGGCATGCGCGGGGTGCTGAGTTTGATCCTCTGCACCACATAAAAATAAAATAAAGGTGTTGTGTCCTGAAACTAAAAAATAAATATTAAAAAATTCTCTCTCTTTCTTTTTTTTTTAAAAAAAAAAGGTCTGGGGAACGCAGCTCAGTGGTAAAATACCCCTGGGTTCAATTCCCTGTACACTCCCCCAAAATCTTTTTTTAAGAAAAATGTTTATTATAGATTTGGCAGGCCTAAATATGAAAAAAAAAATCTTTTTATTTTTTATAAAGACTGAAGTAAAGTACTCAACCCAAAATTTCTGTGTAGTCAGCTGTTCAGTCATAGTATAATATACAATATTGTATAATATACAATATACTGAAAAATTAGGAAAAGAAAAAGAAGGGTAATCGTGGTAACTTTCCCCTTTGTTTTCCATTCCCATCCTCCCATTCTCCTCCCCCATCCCCCTTCTCTAATTTGGTGAACCTCCACTCCCACCCTATTGTGAGTCAGCATCTGAATATTGGAGAGAACATTTGGCCTTTGGTTTGGTTCTATTTCATAGTTACCTCATCTCATAATTTAAAAAAAAAAGTTAGAAAGGGAAAAAAAATTTCTTTTTTTTTTTTTTTTTCCCCGTACCAGGGATGGAGCTCAGGGGCACTCAACCACTGAGCCACGTCTCCAACCCTTTTTTGTGTTTTAGAGACAGGGTCTCACTGAGTTGCTTAGTGCCTCGCTTTTGCTGAGGCTGGCTTTGAACTCGTGATCCTCCTGCCTCAGCCTCCCAAGCCACTGGTATTACAAGTAAGTGCCACCTGCCTAGCAGGAAAACTTTTTAATATGAGGGAAAGTACACAAAGGCAATATGTTACCTGAGGAGTCTTTGGAAAGAGAGTGGACATTCAAGGGGTTCTGTGATGGCAGACTGGAATAATGGGGAAGTTAGAACAGCTGATGTAAAAGAAACCAAAAAAAGCTTGATATTGTGGAGCCTTTGAGAGCACACTTTTTGATAATTGGAGTTTGTAAGATTGAAATGGTTATAATGCATTATAGAAAATTTATATTAAAAATTGTAAAAGTTTGCATTTGTCCTTCAAGTTTTGGTTATCTGAAAAACTAACCCTTATAAAACATCTTGATCCCTGCCAGTGCCAGATGAGAGGGCCTGTTGCTTTGTTCTCATCTTTTCACTTTTTGGAATTCTTTTACTTTTTTTAAAAAAAAATTTTATATTTTAGTTTTATTTATTTATTTTTTATTTTTATGTGGTGCTGAGGGTTGAACCCAGTGTCTCACGCATGCCAGGCGAGTGTGCTACCACTTGAGCCACATCCCCAGCCCCTCTTTTACTTTTTTATTTATTGACCATATCTGGTAGAGTTTTTTGGACATCCAGTATATCTAAAACAATACAAATCTCCCAGGAAAAGAACAAAGAAGTTTTAGAGTTTTTTACTCATGCTAGCTAGAAAGAGAAATTTTAAGATTTGATAGCTGCAAATAAAAGTCTGAAGTGAATCCTATCAGTTGCTAAAGACTTCAGCTTTCTTGTAGAGGTTTTCTGGGCTCCCTCTTCTCTGGGTGCACTTCCTTAGCCATCTCATATCTCTGCTCTGACTGCCATGTTGCATCTGCATTGCTCTCTTCATGTGGGGCACATCTATAATTGTTATGTAGAACATCTAGCAAATGATAGCTTGATCTGTCATAAGAGCCCACTGGAGAATCCATTTTATTATTTTCCCTCAGGAATATGCATCCTGGCTCCCCTTAGAGATGGCATTCAGATGAAGGTTTCACTGCCTTTCATTTCTTTACCTTCTACCTCTAACTAAAAGCCAGCATGGCCTTCACATTTGTTTTGGCTTTTGGTTGGCTGTGTCTTTAGGGACTGGAGACTAGAAGATAGACTGACTAATGATTCAGCTGTTTCTGAAAAAGGGCAAAGTGTACAAGTTGTGACATATCTGAACTTCTTTATTTATAAACTGGGTATTAAAATAGTTCTGATAAGATCATTGGGCACATGGTTTGTCAATAGATTATTATCATAATCTTTTGGTTTACTTCTTTTATATTAATTTATAGGGTTTTATTTTTCTGTTGCAAAATTTTGACAGGAGAGCTTTTTCCTTGACTTGTTGTATTTTTGCTAGAAGTCAGCCTGCATTCCATTTCTACAGACATTATAGGATGTGCTGAATCCAGACTGTTATAGGACTGGAATCTGCCAGGAAACTGAGGCAGTGCAGAGACCTCCTTCAAGCCTGAGTCTTGTGATCATGCCACAAAGATTCCAGACA